TGACTGAAAATTTTTATACGGTCTAATCCTAGCCAGATCATTAACTTCAAGCCTCCTTTTCACATAATGTTGTATCGTTTGGTTTACCTTGAAATATCTTCTTTTCGTCAGACTTGTAAGATCATGGTTATGTTCAACCACAGCTGATTTAATTTCCCATTTGCATTCACCATTCAAAGCTGCAGTAATCCAACTCTTACAATCTGTTTTAGCAACAAGTTGCTTTTTCAAGGTATTTCTAAATTTAAATCTCTCCTTCCCAAAACAAGAACATGCCACTGTCACGTATCTCATCTCCCTATCATCTCCTTTCTTTGACGTACGTATCATTGCTTTAAAACCCATTTTATTATCATACCTTTTGTAATACTTCACCAAACTATCAATTGAATCAAACACCATTCCAATATGAGGCTCCACTTCTTCCTTCTCACATCCCATATCTTCTAATTCATCACATTCATTTTCCTGATTTAATGGTTTTATAATAGACAAAATTAGAATGTATTAATACAACAAATCATAAGAAACAATACAATACAACAAATTTAAATTCATGTTAACGAGAAAGTTAAAGTTTTGAACACAATTTACCTCAACATCATTGAAATGATGCAAACTGGACTCTTCCATATTTCGTAATTTCATGCAAAACTAATACCAGTTTTCACATTCACGAATCTGGTTCACAACAATCGCCAACAAATATTGTCTATCAGTTATTTCGTATTATAACATATATTCAATCCAAAATAGAATACGAAACTAAATAAATGCATAAATTAAGTCAAAAATTCTTAAGTACCTCAACAAATATTTCTAACCTCAAAAAAGTTTGATCTCCTTTTCCACTGTAAATGATTCTCTCTGTAAAAAATTGGTGGCTTTCCTGTGAAAATATTAGTGACTTTCTTGTCACGATAGTTGGTTGTTATGGCTGTTGAGGAAGAAACTGGCAATACCGCGTAGAAGACTAACAAGTTCTAGTAAGAACACGTAGAAGAAAAGATGAGACGATGAAGCTGAAAGGTATTAGCTTTAACAATGAAGCTACAAACAAAGTCTTATTTTTTTTATTTCATCTAAAAATTTTGGCGCTTATTTGCAGAAGTGTATTAGACAAGCTATATCTTTTTTATTTATGATTGAAATTTTTTTGTAAATTTCTTTTTAAAAAAAAATTATTTGCCTCGCTTTTCAATGGATGGTCGTCCATCTGATACAAATGGGCGTCTATTCTTATTCTTTTAGAAAATTATGGATGAGCATCCATTCGAGGTGGACGCCCATCCATAAGAACTGGACTCCCATCCATATAATATGGAAGGAAATCCATTGTTATTTTCGTACAACAATTCATCTAAATTGGTGGACACCTGTCTGTTTGTGATGCGCGACCGTCCATCAAATATAGACGAGCATCCATAATTGTTGAATAGTTGTTCATTCACAGAAGACGTGTTATAGTGTCCAACGTGGCTGTGTCTGACTAAGATGCCACATAAGTCGGTGCAATAATTCAGTGAGATTAATCGTTATCCATAGCATTATTGAATGTATTGTTACGATAAAATACAAATTGCTAGTTTTTTTGCTTGTTGGTTGACCAAATGTTTTTATACAATTGATGTAACAAACAGTTTACTTCTTTTCTTGTTTCTTAGCTAGTTGACCAAATGTATAAATAAAAAGATGGAGCAATTAGGAGAAACGCATAGAATCCATAATGAGATTCCATAAGTTATGGGGTGTTATTTTAAACTCATGGGGTGTCTTTATAAAAAAATGCAAACCTTGGGGGAGGTAAGGGATAATAAGCCTTTCCACAAAATATTTCAATGTAAGTTGCAAGCATTGACCTCTAGATAACTCGATGAGTGAAACTCCCATAATTTTATAATCAAAATTGAAACTGGTGACCTGGTCTTTCTAGAATTTATTCAAACAACAAAATCGCGAGTTAATATTTGTCTTCTGGAAACGTTGGAAAGAAAGCAAAAATCCTCTAAAGAAATAGGTTTTCAGAATTTACTTGTCTCTTGAATTGGCCTTTTACAAACTTATATATAGCAAATTAATCGAAGAAGCTCAAAGAATCCAGATGATTGGTCAACAGCCAAACATCCAATACAAAAGATGGCATATGTTACAAGGATAATCGGCATTACATAATTGTTTGAAGGTAAAACGTAAACCAGCATTGTGGTTGCACATAATATAAGCTGCTAAACTGATGAGAACCTGACCTGCAATTTACTCAATACACCAACAATCTATCCACAGTTCACAATCAAACCCACAATCAAAACAGAATTAAATCTCTATATTAATATCAGTAGAACAGTACATCCAGAATAATACATCCAGACCATGTTCAATCAACAATTCAACAAACAAGAGTCACAACAATTATAACTAAGTACAGACAAAGAAACATATTGATAAGACTGAACTTCGAGGGTCAGTCACCTCCCTTCCCAAATCCTTAATCAACTTTTCTGAATATCCTCTCCTTCGTTCCTACCCTTTTTATTCCCTCCTGACACCTTTTTATTTCTAACAGAATTTCTCTTCTCTCAAATCCTATCAAGCCACATGTCCCCTCATAACAAATTCTAGCAAATATTTCCCTGCTTCTTACCCCTGTGCTTCCTACGGTAGACCATTCCCCTTAGTTGCTCATCATTACCCTCCCTAAGAAGAGCCACCTTGTCCTCAAGACGGAACGAAGGAAACTGACAGTGGATAGTTTCAAAGTCTTCCCAAGTGTTTTCAAATGGGGGTAGGCCTTTCCATTGAATGAGTACCTCCCACTATCCATTGATGAGTTTCCTTTTCTTGAGTACTGCTTGTAATAGCTGCTTTCTACTCAAATACTCATAAAACATGTACATAATAAAATACATATAAAGTAGTATAAAAGGTTGGGCCCAAATTTTTCTTTTATTAAATATATACATTCTTTATACAAAAAGTTGTATCATGTAGAAAACATCAAAACAAGGTGGACAGTGTAGCCATATCTCTTTGCTTGCCGACGCCCTTCAAACTGTATCCTCACCTAGGTCCTGCAAAACATAGAAAATAGCGGGGTGAGCACAACTAATGCTCAGTAAGTAAATCCTCTACTCATCTATCCCCGTAACTCTCTCTCTCTAATTCTTTCCTTACAATTCTCATTTACTCTCTATTTATACTTCCCTCTCTACTTTCTCTTTCTCATAACTCTTTTCTACTAACTCTCTTTAGTAGTCACAGCCTCATCTTACCGGAGGCACGGCTGGGACTTGCTCCCACTCTGCGTGACTTCTACTCATACTAGCCGATCGGACTCGGTTATGCATGGATTCGGAACCCTTGGCCATGTGAGTGTATGATCTCTCTCTCTCGGGTACGCTCGAGTATAGCCCTCATCCGCATGCACTCTCACGGGCTACACCACTTTTCTCTCTCTCATACTCATGCCGCTCTCTCAATGCGGCGTACATGCGGGAAACTCTACCCATTACTCACGGGTTCCCCATCGCATAACCTACTCTATTCTCTTTTCTCTTCGTTCTCTAGTGCTCATTCTCTCTTTCTCTTTACTCTTAAGGTAGCTTATACTCAAATTCTCTACTATTTCTCAAGCTACTACTTAAGTGCATAAATAATGCGTATGAACGGCTCATGCTCACTAATGCACTTATGCAAAGCACAAATGCAATGGTACATCAAAGACAGTCATTCTGCGTAGGTCACCCTAAAAAGGCCATAACTTGCGTTATACACATCGGATTGCAACGGTTTTGGTCTCGTTTTAAAGCTTAAAAACAGGGCTACAACTTTGATTTTTTGGTCTTAGCTCAGTTTAATCCGTAATATGCCCAAAATTTTCTTATAAAGTCATTGCTGTGACAGGGCAGATTTCACTTAGGCATTTCCTCAAACAACTCATGTGCATACCAAAGCTCTACTTATCTATAACTCTACTCTTCTCTTTAATCCTCCAAAATGGGAGAAAAACTCCCTCATACAATCATAATTCCTGCCAAAGAAAACACTCCCAAAAATATTCATACACAACTCGTCCAACTTCAACTCAATTTCACTCTCTCATCACACATTAATAACATTTCTCATAATTTAATCATACTCAACAACTAGGACTAAGCACACATCTCATCTCAATTTTTCAGCAGGTATAACATATACATACATAATTAAAATAAATCTCTACTCAAAAGCTTATTCAAAACTCAACTTGGTTGGATTTACTTACCTTTAATGAAGAGATCTCACTAATACTTTTCCTTTTCCTTAGTACCTTGTCCCTTCTCTACAACTTTAAACCATAAAACCATAAGACTTCAAGATACAAATATAAGCAAAACTATATCTAAAGCAAGAATCCTTACTTTAGGATGCTTTAGATGAAATCTTTACTAAAAAATTACCCAAAAGCTCCTTAGAAATCTTGGAAGATTGGATGGAGAATTGAGAGAAGTTAGAGAATGGATATGGCGGTGGAAATGGGTGAAATGAAGGTTTTCTCTACACTTAATCCTTTTAGCTCATATTATAACCATCATTTCCCATTTTGCCCTTGCTCTTCCTTGGAAATTCCATCCATATCCTTTGATTCTTTGCAAATACACCCTTATTGCCAACACATTCTCTACTTAATTTCCTTACATTTTACTCCCCACTATTCCTACTAATTAGGGGTAGAATGGTCATTATGCCCCAAAGGAAGAATTCTCTAGAAAACTCAAGAAACTTTTTGTTAAGCTCTTCGTCGCAACGAAGAACATTCCGTCGCCCCGGCGAAACACGGCAGAGCCTACCCGTGGGTGCAGCACCTCATCGCCGCGGCGAAGATTGGATTTCCAAAATTCACCAAATCTCCACCAAAACCAAGGCAAACACTTAACCAATACAACATACAAACTCAATTGAAACTGAATCAATGAACTTTTAAGTAATATAGCAAATCTTAAGTACGTACCTCAAGCGGGGCGTTACACTGCTTCAGGTTCAAGTTGTAAAATGAGATCTTCATTGAGAGCTGCTGGTAGAGGTTGACTATTGGGAATTGGAAAAGTTGCCCTTTTCAATTGCGAAACATGAAAAACATCATGAATACGAGCTAAGGGTGGTAGTGCCAACTGGTATGCAACTGCCCCAATTCTGTCTGTGATGACAAATGGACCATAAAACCGCGGGCTAAGTTTCTCATTAAGTCGACGAGCAAGAGATCTCAATCTGTATGGCTGCAACTTCAAATAAACAGAGTCCCCAACCTCAAACGTAACTTCTCGGCGATGGTGATCAGCATAAGTCTTCATGTGGTGTTGAACCTTGAAGAGATGCTCTTTTAACTCATCCAAAACACAGTTGCGTTACTGAAGTTGCTGGTCCACGTCTTCGACTGAAGAGGTGTGGTCCAAATAGCACAAAACTGTTGGGGGATCATGACCATAGAGGGCCTTAAAGGGGCACATTCTTGTGGAACGGTTATAAGTAGTGTTGAACCAAAACTCCGCCCATGGAACCCATTTTGGCCATAACTATGGTTGCCCACTGACAAAGCACCTGAGGTAGGTCTCTAAGCAACGATTTACTACCTCTGTTTGACCATCTGTCTGCGGATGGTATGCGAAACTCATGTGTAATTGGGTACCCGATTGTTTAAACAATTCGCTCCAAAAGTTGCTCATGAAAACCCTATCTTGATCGGAAACAATGGTACGGGGAAACCCATGCAATCGAACCACTTCTTTGATAAACAGATCCGCTACCACTTTGGCTGTGTACGGATGCTTGAGAGGTAAAAAATGGCTATACTTAGTCAGACGATCCACTACCACCGAAATTGTATCAACCCCTTTCGCTTTCGGAAGCCCCATGATGAAATCCATAGAAATATCTTCCCACACTTGGTTAGGGATGGGCAACGGCTGAAGCAAACCTACAGTGCTCATGGCGTCATATTTATTTTGTTGGCAAACAGGGCAAGCGACTACAAACTCTTTGATGTCGTGTTTCATTCCCTCCCAAAACACCACATTTGTGAGACGCTTATATGTCCGAAAGAATCTGAAATCGCCCCTGATGGGCAATGCATGAAATTCCTGTAAAATTTTCTAGGTGTGAGGCCCAGATTTAGGTAGCACCAATCTGTTATGGTACAGTAGATGGCGGCCCACCAATCTGAAAGGATAATGACTGTTGGGGTCGATGAGGAGTTGTTGCATGATCCCACGTAACCTGTCATCACTCTGAATAACATCTTCCAAACTGTCCAGTCCCAAAAAACAGCCCACTAAGATAGCCTGAAGGTCTACCACGTCTGGCATCCTAGAAAAAGCATCTACTGCCTTATTCTGTGGTCCCGGTTTATACTGAATCATGAAGTCTAATCCCAGCAATTTGATAACCCATTTTTGCTGATTCTCACTCAATAATTTCTTATTAGTTAGAAAGTGAAGACTGCACTGATCCGTTCGAATAACAAAGCGTTTGCCCAACAAGTAATGCCGCCACTTTTGCACAGCCAGAACTACAACCATTAATTCCCTTTCATAGACTAACTTCAGCTTTGAATTTAGAGACAAACATTTGCTGAGAAAAGCAATCGATCATCCCTCTTGCATCAGCACCGCTCCCAATCCACTTCCGGAAGCATTGGTTTCTATGACAAACTCTTGAGTGAAGTTAGGCATCCGGAGAACTGGAACACTGGTCATGAGCCGTTTTAGTTCGTCAAAAGCCTCTTGAGCTGCTGTATTCCACAGAAACGAGTCTTTCTTTAACAGGGCAGTGAGTGGAAGGGCGATTTTTCCATAATCGCGAACAAATCAGCGATAGTGTCCTGTCAGCCCAAGAAAACCTCTTAGTGCCTTGATGTCTCTCGATTCTAGCCATTTGATAAGGCTCTCAATCTTTGAAGGGTCAACGAACACCTCTTTAGCTGAAACCACATGCCCCAAATATTCCAACTGTGATTGCCCAAAATTACACTTTTTTTTATTGACCACCAGCTGATTGTCTAAGAGCACCTGTAAGGTAATGCGTAGATGCTTTGCGTGTTCGCCCATCTCCTTACTATATATCAGTACATCGTCAAAGAAAACCAACAAAAATTTTCTTAGATAAGGTCTGAAAACGTCATTCATAACTGCTTGAAAGGTAGCCGGTGCATTGGTGAGGCCGAAGGGCATTACCATAAACTCATAGTGCCCTTCGTGCGTCCGGAAGGTTGTTTTAAGTGTGTCCTATAGTTTCACTCGGATTTGGTGATAGCCTGATTTCAAATCAAGTTTAGAAAACACTGTCGCGCCGTCTAACTCATCAAATAATTTGTCGATGGCTGGAATCAAAAATTTATCCGGAACTGTCACTTTGTTAACTGCCCTATAATCAACACAAAATCTCCATCCCCTATCCTTCTTTTTCACCAACAAAACTGGGCTTGAGAATGGACTGATGCTGGGCTTCATAATTCCCGAAGCTAGCATTTCTTTGACAATACGCTCTATTTCATTTTTCTGGTAGTAAGGGTACCTATAAGGTCAGAGATTTGGTGGTTGAGTCCCTGACACTAACTAAATGGCATGGTCTCTGGTCCTGGCAGGTGGTAATCCAGGGAGTGGATCAAAAACTCTACTAAATTTCTACAACACCTTCAGCAACCGATCATCAACATCCCCACTATTATCACACTGTTTTTGAATCTACCCAAACTCTATCAAACACCCTTGTCCCTCATTCTGCAACACCTTGATCATAGCCTTGAGTGAAACCATGGTTTTATTGAGAGATGGGTCCCTACGCAAACACACAATCTGGTCTCCCAGTTTAAACCTCATGGTTTGCTTCCTCCAGTCAGTGGTCGTCTCACCTAAAGTTTCCAGCCATGTAATTCCCAGAACTATGTCAGCACTACTCATATCAAATGGAAAGAAAATTTGAATAATCGTTACCCCCTGTAGCTCCATGCAAACATCTCTGTATTCTCCCTCACATCTCACACTATACCCATCACCCACTCTAACCCCAAAGGACTGAGTTCTTATCACGGAAATACCCAAACACTCCACCACCTTTGAACTAATAAAATTGTGGGAAGCCCCACTATCAATCAACACAATCAGCTCCTTACCTCGGATTCTGCCCTTGAGCTTCATGGTCTTTGGACCATGAATCCCCACCACTGATCTAAGAGAAAGCTCAACCTGTTCCTGCGGTGGCTCCATTCCAGATTCGACGGACTCTCCACCACCAATCGGGTCTGGATCATCTTCCTCTTCATCGATTAAAATAATCTGAAACTGTTTTTCCCCACATTTGTGACCAAACGAAAACTTACCATCACATTTGAAGCAAAGACCCTTCTCCCTTTTTTTCTGGATTTCTGCATCTGTCATTCGACGAAATGGGAACTCGCGTCATTAGAAGTCTGGTCGTTCATAGGGCCGAAAAGATGACAGTGGTTGGTCGCGACTGGAGGAGTTGGTCGACGAGCCGTGAATTGAAGATTCTGGTGATCATCGATTGAAATGGGAAGTAGAATGTGATTTTAGGGATTCTATTGAATTTGGGAATTTTGGGTTTGTGTTATTATCGAATCGGGTCAAGGGATTATCAAACCGGGTCGAGTCTCTAGATCCATATGAAAACCCAGGCCCATTAACACGTGAAGGTATAATTGCCCCCACTTGGGCTTTTTTAATCACGTGATTTCTCTCCTCAATGCGTTGGGCCAGATCAATTACTTGAGTTAAATATGTGGGTTGGGCTAAATGGACTTCAGCTCTCACTTCAACCTTCAGCCCATTGATAAATGCTGCTTGTAAAATCTCCTTCTTCTCCCCTACCAGAAGTGCAGCGACGACTTCAAATTGATGTCGAAACTCCATTATTGACCCAGTCTGCTTCATGGCCATTAACGACTCATAGGGGTTGAGCTCTTGGGATCCACTAAACCTTTGAAGGAGTGCCAGCTTAAACATGGCCCACGAACTCGCCAGAGCTCTGGATTTCGTCCACTGGAACCAATTTATGGCTTCACCTTCCATACGACAGTTGCCGCTGTCAATTTCCCTTCCTCAGTTATTCCATTGAGGTGAAAGTAGCGCTCCACTCTAAAGATCTACCCATAAGGGTCTTCGTCGAAAAATATCGGCATCTCCAATTTTCTTCCACTCATTTCACTGCGACTCTGGCTACTGTTGCCAGATCCACTTGCCCCATCGGGATTTTCTTCCTGGTGAGATCGGACATTCTCAGATGAACGCATCTCGGTTCTACCAGCTTCTTCTTCGTCCTTTCTTCGCACCCAGGACTGTAATTCAACCAGACACTCTCGAATAGTACCCATCTCAACTCCCAACTTCGTAACTTCTCTTTCCACGTTATTCAGTCTAGAGTCCATTCTCGTCAATACCATAACCCAGAACTCAATGCTCTAATACCGCTTGATGAGAACCTAACCTGCAATTTACTCAATACACCAACAATCTATCCACAGTTCACAATCAAACCCACAATCAAAACAAAATTAAATCTCTATATTAATATCAGTAGAACAGTACATCCAGAATAATACATCCAGACCATGTTCAATCAACAATTCAACAAACAAGAGTCACAGCAATTATAACTAAGTACAGACAAAGAAACAGATTGATAAGACTGAACTTCGAGGGTCAGTCACCTCCCTTCTCAAATCCTTAATCAACTTTTCTGAATATCCTCTCCTTCGTTCCTGCCCTTTTTATTCCCTCCTGACATCTTTTTATTTCTAACAGAATTTCTCTTCTCTCCAATCCTATCAAGCCACCTGTCCCCTCATAACAAATTCTAGCAAATATTCTCCTGCTTTCTTACCACTGTGCTTCCTACGGTAGACATCTCCCCTTAGTTGCTCATCATAAACATTTGGACCTTTATAGATGTTGATGCTGATGAGATTGTTTAGAGCTATATCTGTGAATCCAATTGGGTAGCCAAGGAAATTCCAATGTAAGCCTAAAAGTCAAGATGCGTAAATAGATGACTTTGTTAGAAAAAAAGGGAAACTTGGATCATATACCAAGATTCAAATGTTTTAAAATGCTCAACTATTCATTCTGGTCCAGTGGTATTGTCTCTCTCAAGAATATAATCTGATTAGAGTCTCCCATGTTATTAATTGATATGCCAAATAGCCTACAATTCTATACAATCTTCATCTCACGTTACAGGTCACAACTTAATAAATGGGCAGATAAAATGAGCAACAAAATATAAGTATTGGCAGGTTTTGCAATTGATTTCATAGCAGACTATTCATGAACATATCACCAATCATTCAAGCATGAAGTTATGGCCATATAAACTATCTTCTTCTGCAATCACTGCACATATGGATCACAATGGCTACTTGTGAAAATTGACATCTGACCGAACAGACAAGTGTTAGAAAATAGACAAACATTTCAGACACTCTCACATTCTCCTTATCTTCCTGATGGTAACCATTACTATGCCTGTAATATTCTCTAGCTGGTAAAAGCGATGAGGAGCGTCAACTGTATCTTAGGTGAGGAAGTACTAGAATTAATGTTAACTGTTTAGTTGATTGCAAGCATGCTTTTAATTTGTGTCGGCAATTCACAACACATATTTGGCCACTTTGTTCTTAAATTTCGACTGTCATTTCCTTTGTCCACTCTACCGATCAGATTGGTCCACTATTTTAAGTGAGAAACCCACGTATATTATTACAAGCTTGATCTTATTATTAAATGACTATCAATTGTTCAATCAACTTTCATTATCATAATCTAAATTTAATTTTGGACAAGCATTGATGGTTGGCTGGGTACATTTATATGGATGGTGAGGCCCATTAATGGTACCTTCTCTTTGTATATTTATACGAGGTTTTTGTATATTGTTATTGTGTTACTCATATAAACATAATACTATAATACAACATTTTTTATACAATAAGATGTGATAAATAATGATTGATTAATTTTAAATTAAAAACAAATTTTCATCAAACCGTTTTTTATTACATTATGTTGTATGTATAGTACTACTCCATATTAAAATTGCGAAACTTGAGAGTTTGTTATATATTCTGTTTGAAGAAGACGAACTAGAGAATTAACATGCACAAAATGCTGAATATTTCGGAAAGTGTAATGGAAAAAAAACCAACTATAGAAGCAGTATTTATGGCAAACCAAGCATTGAGAATTATTTTTTTAACCCAAAATTTTGGTTAATTCATTAATAACCCTAAAAGAATCGTGTAGAGATTAACATTTAATTTTGGACAGATTAGATAGTTACATCTCTCTAGATGGTGAACTGAGGCCCCCATTATTTCATTACACCGCTCAGTTAGACAACAGACAAGATATTATAAAACCAAACACGTGTTATGCAAAATGTCGGCGTCATATAATTTTATTTTCATTGAAACTAAACATTTGACATTCATATTTAGTTAAATTTTTAGTAATATAATTGTAATAAAAATGAAAAACAAACTATTTGAGTGCAAAGAAACAGAACACATGATAATACTCACAACAGGATATTCTGAGTATCAAACTCTTAGATTAAAAATACCCAAATAAATAGTAATAATAATAAGAGACTGATTAATTAAATGATTATATTCAGAAGATCCATAATTTGTGATACACAGTAACCACAATCAGTGGGTCAAATTACACAAGCCTGATATGATATTTTTTTTTTTTTAAATGCATGTCCAGAGTAGCTTATCACATGGGAGTTGAAGCAGAAACAGTGTCCTCACATGTGATGTGATCCTGCCAATAACCCAAAGAGAAAATCGTTTTGAGATGCAAATTTATCAGCTGACATGTTCAACTTGCCATGTTTAGTTGCTAGGATACATCTATAGCCTCACACACAAAACTCCAGTTTTCTGAAAATGACAAAATTTATCCATCTTCTTCTTCTCTCTTTGACTGCTTTTTAATCCTTTTCTAACTTTTATAAATATCATCCAAACACACATTTGTTCGATTTACTATTATACAGTTATTTTTCAGCAGAGAATTGTACTGAAAATCTGAGTTATTAATTGCGTTTCAGATATATCAAAAAATTTACGAGAGAATATAGTCACAGTCTTGAACTATTAAAAAAACTGGATGCTTCACATACAGTTGTCCCAGGTTGGCTTCCGCTACCTCACATGGGCTAACCAAAATTTCTAAAAATCCAGTCCCCACTTCACTAAATACTGCCTTTTTGTTTTCAGTCTATTTTCATTTCCATTTTATTTATTTTGGTAAACAAATCAAATAAAAGGAGGAGATTTGGTCACATGCAGAGAAGACGACTTATTGTATAATTTGGTCCACATAAATTTTAAAAAAAAAAATACAAAGTTAATATAAGATTTTAAGTAAAATTCTGGAATTTGGATGAAAACAGAGAGCAAGAATGAGAATGATGAGCTTTGTTTGACTTTGCCCTGGAATTGGGGAATTCAGCATTTAATAACTTAACAGCTGATCAGAAACCTTCAGGTTTTTATAATAAAATGATGATCACGAGCTAGTTAATTAATTGTCTTAATTTACACACTCTAATGAAATACTTATTTAGAAAGAGCAATTTTTATTAAGAGTGACTATTACACATTCACACTCTGTTTTTTTTAATTCTTCTCTAAAGACTAGAATAGTGAGGCAGAGACTGTACCAACATGGCTAATGTACAGCCAATCCCTCAATTAATTATAATTATTTTTTGGGTTGATCTTAATTGCACCATGTAGCATCATTAAGATTTAACAAAGTCAATTAATTAGTCTAATTATAATCCCCCCCGAAAAAAGGAAGAAACTTCTTTGAAGTTTGTTAATTCATATGTAGTTTGAATTAAAGCACAGATTTTCATCATTTTCTACAGTAATTCAGCTGCCCAGTTCACATACAGGATGAAATTAATCATATTTAATTTGGCTGTACTTTAGCTGTCACTCTTCTAATTTCCACCATATTTTATCTTTCAACCTCTAATTTCCACAGGAGTATTGAATAATTAAATATTTATGAATCAATGAATATTTTAGCTGGAGTTGTCATTTCCCATTTGGAGAAACAGAAATTAGACACTTCTTTCCCTTTATTAATACTTCACTGAAATCAATTGTATGAAAACAAGTTCATGTTTTTCCTCTTCCTCTCTCATGTCTACATTATATTTTGACTACCCAATCTCATTTGTCAACCTCCAAGCTTAACTGTTTCCATTCTGATTTCAAAGATCCGGATGTCAGTGGATAACAGATGAACCCTTGACTGTCATTCGTTTTGGTTTTAGTGGTATACAAATCTCATCAGTGAGTTTTAAGTTCAATTCATTGCTTCTCTTCTTAAAAACTCGATCTGGGTATCAATGGCTCCAAACTCAGTTGTGGTGACTATGGAGAAGCCTAGCAACTTCTCTTTAGTGGAACTCAATGGCTCAGATTCATCGTTGTTTCCCGAGAAACAAAAGGGTGTGAGTCCTAAGCAATTCACATGGTTTCTTTTTCTCAAAGCTCATAGAGTCTTTAGTTCTCTTTCATGGCTTGCCATGGCTGTTCAAACCATGTTTGTTTCAGCTAAGAAACGTATTTCATTGTCTGAGGTCAGTGAAGAAGAGCCTAAATACAGAGGAAGATTGTATAGGTTTATCAAAGCGTTTTTGGTTTTATCAATAGTGGCTTTGGTCATTGAAGTTGTGGCTCATTTCAAGAAATGGAACTTGAATCTGATGCAGCCATGGGAGGTTCAGGGTCTTGTGCAGTGGTCCTATATGGCTTGGTTGTCATTTAGAGTTGATTATATCGCTCCCTTGGTCATAACACTTTCTAAATTCTGCACTGTACTCTTCTTGATTCAATCTCTTGATCGCCTAGTTCTATGTCTCGGTTGTTTCTGGCTTAGGTACAAGAATTTGAAGCCCAAGATTGAAGCTGAAGCTGATGACATTGAAGATTCTTCTTCATTTTTCCCAATGGTTCTTGTCCAGATTCCAATGTGCAATGAGAGAGAGGTAACTCATAATAATTCTTTTTTAAGTCTTTCTTCCATTGCTACTCTCTTTTTGGGTCTGACTTTGAAGTGATGTTCGTTATTTAGGTGTATGCACAATCCATTTCTGCAGCCTGTCAGCTTGATTGGCCAAAGGACCGGATTCTAATTCAAGTTCTAGATGATTCTGATGATACAAGTTTGCAGCTATTGATTCAAGATGAGGTCTCATCTTGGCGTGAGAAAGGAGTTAACATAGTCTACCGACATCGATTAATCAGAACCGGTTACAAAGCCGGCAATCTTAAATCAGCCATGGGCTGTGACTATGTCAAGGACTCTGAATTTGTTGCCATATTTGATGCAGACTTCCAGCCAAATTCTGACTTCCTCAAACAAACTATTCCTCACTTCAAGGTATCATTTAAAGACTAATTGGAATTTTGTTGTTGTTTCATATCAATTGTTTTGTGGTAAAGCAAATTTGTGATCTTTTGCAGGACAACCCTGAACTTGGTCTTGTTCAGGCTCGTTGGTCTTTTGTGAACAAGGATGAGAATTTGCTCACAAGGCTCCAAAACATCAATTTGTGCTTCCATTTCGAGGTGGAACAACAAGTCAACGGCCTTTTTCTCAATTTCTTCGGATTTAACGGGACTGCAGGAGTTTGGAGAATCAAAGCCCTAGAAGAATCAGGAGGCTGGCTTGAAAGAACAACAGTTGAAGACATGGATATTGCAGTCCGAGCGCACTTGAACGGCTGGAAATTCATCTTCCTTAACGATGTCAAAGTCCTCTGTGAGTTGCCGGAATCCTATGAAGCTTACAAGAAACAACAACACCGCTGGCATTCGGGTCCAATGCAGCTCTTCCGTTTATGCCTTCCTGCAATTATTACTTCCAAGGTATACTTACACTTAAAACTCCATTTTTGATATCTTCATAGCTTCCTAAACAATCTCTGACCAATTGTTTTTATGTTGTATGCAGATATCAGTATGGAAGAAGGCGAACTTGATATTTCTTTTCTTTCTTCTAAGGAAACTCATCCTTCCCTTTTACTCATTCACACTGTTTTGTATCATACTGCCGTTAACCATGTTCATACCAGAGGCAGAGCTCCCCATTTGGGTGATTTGTTACGTCCCCATTTTCATGTCTCTTCTAAACATTCTCCCAGCTCCAAAATCCTTCCCTTTCTTGGTCCCATATCTCCTCTTCGAGAACACAATGTCCGTCACAAAATTCAACGCCATGGTCTCCGGGCTGTTCCAGCTCGGAAGCGCATACGAATGGGTGGTGACAAAGAAGACAGGAAGATCGTCAGAATCCGATTTAATAGCCTTCGCGGAAAGGGAATCAAAATCTTCAACCGAAGAAAAAATCCTCAGAAGACACTCAGAATCCGGCTTGGAACTCTTAAGTAAACTCAAGGAAGAAGAAAAAGTCCCCCCATTAAAGAAGATGAAAAACAGACTCTACAGAAAGGAACTGGCACTTGCATTTCTCCTTCTCACAGCAGCAGGAAGAAGTTTGTTATCCGCACATGGAGTCCATTTTTACTTCTTGCTTTTCCAGGGGCTGTCGTTTCTTGTTGTGGGATTGGATTTGATCGGTGAGCAGATGAGCTGAAAATTAAAAAAAAAAACATATAGAAATCCAAGTTTATACAGATGAAGAACAAAGTTTCAGTGCAGTTGAAAATTGAACTGGGGCTGGAATTGAAGTTGATTATAGGAAGAAATTAAAAATTAATTAAAATTTGGTGTATGAATTAGTAAGGCATATATAAGAGATTAAAGTTAAGCTTGTTGTACACCCAAATATGTTTTTACTGTATCAATAATGAGAATGCAATATAAAAAATTCCTTTTTTTTTTTTTTTTTAATTTGTGATTTATATTCATAAATTTCATTTGTTAAATTAAGGGATATTGAAATTTCAATTTTCACATATGTTTTTACTGTTTCCATAATGAGAATGCAATATTTTGTCTCTTTTTAAGTTATTTTAAAACTTATGTATCTTTTCTTATAATTTAATAAAACTTTGTGATAATATCTTTTAAATTAAATTCATAAAAAATTTAGATAATACAAGCTTCCCAACAACAATTACTCAATTAGTATCAAAAGGTATAGCCCAAATGGAACAAAGGGTCGGTGGTAATTAGCTTAAACTTGAAGGGAAAGAAAGCAATATGATATTTTCTTCTTCTTTACTAATCCAAATTAGTTGCTAAATTTAATGTTAGATATTCATATTATTGAAAAAAAAAAAAAAACAATTCTCAAAATGTCTATTAATATTCTTTAAAAAGGAATAAAATACTATTATACTTTTGAAAAATAAAAAATAATAAAATATCTGTTTTTATATATTATATAAATCGGTTAGTCAAATGAGTATAAAGCACTATACTAATTTATATATTTTATAATATCATTTATTCTTTTTAGAAAATTTAAAATTTAATTTTAAAAAATCAAAAGAGATTCTTACTCATTTTTAAATTTATACTATTTAAGTCAACAATTTAAAATTTTTTGTAGTTACGAAAATGTCCTCCCTTTTCCTTTTTTAATTACGAGTACACCAAACATTTCCTTGTCATTACAATACTAATATAAATAAATCAGATCTCAGGGCTATAATAGTAACTAGACACCTATAGAAAACAAACAAGATTTCGTAAACCTTAAAATTTGTGGCGGTCGAATCCAAGGAGCAAAAAGCGCAGGAAAAAAAGAGGCTATTTAAATTTCTTTTGCTATCCCCACCCGGTTCTGTTTTATCCTATTCCGGTTTTTCTCTATCCTGGAATTACAACAGTTCTGCACAATCAGCGAGAATGGGTTCTGATTCAATGCTGAACGCTCCCGTTCGTTCCCTCTCCAAAGATTTGGGCAAGAAAAAGAGGGTAAGAGGATAATTAAATTAGTTTAAGCTTATTTGTTTTGTTTTGTTGATAGTATAATTTTTGAGATTATTGTTCTTTTGATTATGATATTGTAATGTAGGCGAATAGATTGGCGAAATTGAAGCAATGCAAGCTCGATGTTCGACGCGAACAGTGGCTTTCACTAGGTAAGCTTTTGATTTTTCTTTTAAAATAATCTCTCGCGTTCTTTTGTTTAAATTCAAGTTATGTTTGTGAAGTTTCTTCTTTGGCGGTACATGTTTGTTTTTGTCATTCCTTATATTGATTATCATAAAATACGAAGACGAACAAATTGTTATAAACTTTTTTATTTTGAAAATTATAAAAGGTTATTGAGCATGGAATTGAGGGATTGAACATAATAAATAAATATACAAACCGCTTGTTATCAATCAAACGATAAATGATTGCTATGAAACATTTTCCTTATTTTGTGAGAACCTGTGGGAAAAAGAGAACAGACTAATTGATAACGAGGATGTACCAAAGAAAGTGAAATCTGATGAAAGGATTGGTTTCAGATTTTGTTGGCTGATGAATTATTTCTACTGTTTTTATTTTCTATATGTTATTGGAGAAAATAAATATTTGTAGTTGTCGATGACGTAAAGTGTCTAATAAGGTCCAAAGTCTCTTTTCAAGTTCCTAAGCGAGTGTTTGATTATTGTCATCTCAACAATTGTTGGAGACGCTAAATGTATAAAGGAGAATTCTGCTACAATTTCTGCAAAAAGAGTTACAATTTGATTTTCGGCTGCTTTTTGCTATAGGAAATCAGGTTAGAGTCTATAAACAACTTGCTCTGCAGTTTTAATTGTTGGAGAGAAGACTGCCAAAGTCCTGCACTTAATATCTATGCATTATACTTGTTCTTGGTAACAACCTGAAATTCTAGATTTAAAAGGAATAGTGATTTGTTTATATAGTTAGTTTGCTTAGAAAGAAAAGGAAAAGTCATTGTAGAATGGCTTTTTTGAGTAGGCTTGGAAATATTTATAAGCTTACTGCATTTTCATAATTTCATTTGTTCATAATGGAGTTGGGGTGGTAATGCAGTTGAGAACAAAGGATGCAAGGATGATTCTAACTTGAGGGTTGGGTCTCCTCCATTATCTATGCAAATAGCCAGTGAAGAAAACAAATCATTGGACAGCTTTGAATCAAGGTCAAGAGGGATAGAGAGTGAGGGCCTGAGCATTGATAAGAGAAATTTAGAGCCCTTGGTGAAAAGCCCAACTAGCACTTTGGATAATAATGATTTGAGGAAAGGTCTAAGTATGAGCAATAGTATTACCAGCAGTGATAGTTGTTCTGGAAGTGTCAACAAGGAAGAAGAAGATGGGTGCTTGGATGACTGGGAGGCTGTTGCTGATGCTTTAAATGCAGATGACAATCAGGATAGCCCAGTCTTAAACTCCACTTCCAAATTGGACACCAATGTTGTATCAGCTGATCGTGAACAGGGTAATAAGAATTCAGGATTGAACTTACCAAAGCTAGAGAGCGGGGGAGTAGTTATTGGGTCATGTATGAATCCTCAAGCATGGATGCCTAATGATGCTTTTCGTCCTCAGAATCTTCCCAGTCTCTCACATCAGTTTTTTTCAGCAAGGTCTGATTGGCATTGTGGACACAGAGCCATCACTTGGGCATGGAAAAATATTATGTCTCAGCCTTCTTCTTGCCCTATCTGCTGTGAGGATTTGGATATCACAGATTCAAGCTTTCTCCCTTGTTCATGTGGGTTTCGGCTTTGCCTTTTTTGTCACAAAAGGATTCTTGAGGCAGATGGCCGATGTCCAGGGTGCAGGAAGCAATATGATCTAAAAAATAGGGACATGGGCTTTAATGGAGGGACCTCACCTTTCAAAGTAGCTTATTCTTGTAGCATGAGTACTAGATTTTAGGAAGAGAGTTACTTTTTCCTCTAAATATAATGTATATGGGTCTCTGTCTTTTGCTCCGCCTTTGCTTCATGTGTCAACTCTGTTCTCTCAATTCTAGAACTCTGGTATCCATTGACAAAGATCTGAATATGGATAGATATAGAGCTTGGAAGCGTTTATAATCTGAACTGGACCTTTGATGAGTTCACCTATTTACTTGTATGTTGCTTTGCATATGTTGGTGTCAAAATTTGATATCTTGTTAATTATGGTCTCCTCATGTTTGTTCTATTGTGACGTTGATGTTTTTGGAATTGGAAATAAAATTACTTGATTAGTTTTTTTCTTTCATCCAGTACAAGTGAAGAAGTTCATCTGGATCCTCTAATTAGTTGTTTAAGACCTAATTGACAACAGTGTTAGGACATGGAAATCATCCTGGGTGCATATACTCTTCCTCAGTCAAGTGGCAGTTGCATTTCTCAGTTCCCTTCTTGAGGTACAATTTTCACGACCACCATATGTGATATCATGTAGTGTCTGGTAATTATAATGTTAAATCAGGGTGCAATCTCATGGCAGGTAAATTATGAAGCATGAGCAGATCGAAGGTCAAGTCAGCAACAATATCAACATCATGTCCCAGCTGTATTTGTAATCTGGTATGGAACTTGATGCTTCCTACTAAAAATGGTTGTTTCTATATATTCCATGCATGGTCTTTCAAGTTTCAACCTGGATCTAGTTGGTATAATAAAGTATAACTTGTCAATAACAATCCCTCTCTTTCTGAATCCAAGAACAGTAATTCACTAATTTCCGATTATGGTTTTTCACATGGTATTCTTGGTTTTACAAAGTTAGAAATTACTTGCAAATTAACTCCTGAAAATGATTAACAATTTCTGGTCCATCTGACTGCATAGAGAATCATATGGGAGCCAGAAAAAAAAGGCCAAGAATTTCTTATCAATTGCATGGCATTTAAAAATGCTGTTGGATGGAGGGACCTCTCATTTATTGTCATGAGACATCAGGTGTCCTTTAGTGTGTGTGTATATATATATATATATATATTCATTTTGCCATACTCAGCACCTTTTTTTGCTTGAGAGAAGTGAGCTGGAGTGGAGTTTGTCTTCTTTAACACAAGGGAAACAGGACGGTGCCATGGCTTTCGAGGGCCAAAGCTGTCGCCGTTTCAAACACTGCAATCCTCATTAACTGGTACAGCCCTTTGTTTGTCAAGTAGTCTTCTTTTGGGTCTAGACTTGAATATGGACTTTTTGTAAATTAGACACTCCTTATGTAAAATAAAAACACTTAATCAAACTGTAAAATGTCGTGTGTAACAAGATGGACAGAAAATTGTGTTACTGTTACATCAGATTGTGATGCTTCAGATATTCTCTGAAACCACCTCACCTCACGTAACTCTCTTTTTCATAGCTTGCCGCGTTTTCTTAAGGGTCACGCATGCTAATAATGCCCACAAAATTTTAATATAAAACATATTTCAATATAATACGTAATTCCTTTGTAAGTGTTGGAATGGCTTTTAATTCTGTTGGAAGTTGGGATTTATTTAACTATTGACGTAGGAAATATTGGGATTTGACCATGACTTGGAAATATACCACTTTAATCAAAGGGATTTGTTCCTGCAAGCGCAAGGACGATGAGATATCTCATCTTTCTTCTACAAGATTTAGAATATACAAATTCATCTTATAAATGTTACATAAAAAACCTCCTTTATAAACTAATGAGAAGGTTTTCTTTCAGCTGTTTTATTTTATTTTATTTTTTATACCAAAGTCACTACCCACCGCCATGCATGCCTCTGGCTCTGGAAGATTTGAATATTATTGCCTTGAACAGAGAGATTACGTATTATCTTAAAACCGGAAAAAAATTAAAAACTGCATTAAATATGTAGAATCCAATATAATGACATAATCCAACCATAGCACAATAATTACACTCAGCCCATGATTAAAATGCCAAAAACAAATAAAATTATGGTCAGAGAAAGTGGTCTGCTACATAATAATTGAAGAAAGACAGCAGATGGTCACATGTTCTGAAATTAACTGAATTGATGTAGATTCTAGGAAGCCAGCAATAATATATTTTAAATAGATTGAAAATTAATTTAAAAAAGAATATATGGAAAGAAAGTTCCAAAGGCACCAACATTCAAACCTCGAAAGTTTGACAATCACATTCATTCATAATTAAACGCGTTATTTCCTTTCATATAATTATTTGACGTGTTTGTGTTTCTCTTGACCATTTCTATTCCACTTCCTATTCTTCCTTCCTTCCATAAACTCATTTTTTCTCTCTTCTCTTTCTTATTTCGATCTCAACAGCTTCTCTTCTACCACACGATTTAGTTTTCAATGAGAACAAACTTTGCAGCAATCTTCTTAGTCTCCTTCTTTGTCTTTCCAGCTGTTATTTTTGCTGTCAGATCCTTTCCAGACAAAGCTGATTGTAATGGAGATAAAACCCGGATTGAATTTGATACGTCTATGCAGTTTTCGGAGGCACCCGTGTATCAAAATGGTCTTGAATGTCCAGTTTTGGCCTCAAATTCTTTGTTATTGGTGTGTGATCCTTTGGTTGTTCATGTTGCAATGACACTTGATCCAGAATATTTAAGAGGCACTCTAGCTGCAATTCATTCAGTTCTCAAGCACGCTTCTTGCCCGGAAAATATTTTCTTTCACTTCATTGCTTCCGATTCGAGCTCTCTTCATTCTGAAGAACTTTCTCATATTGTTCGGGTCGCTTTTCCTTCTTTGACGTTCAAGGTTTATGAGTTTAAAGAATCTGTTGTTGTTGATCTTATCTCTTCCTCCATCCGTCAAGCTCTTGAGAATCCACTGAATTATGCGAGAAGTTACTTGGCCGACATGCTTGAAAATTGTGTTGAGCGGGTGATTTATCTGGATTCTGATACAATAGTTGTTGATGATATTCAGAAACTTTGGAGGGTTTCTTTATCTGGGTCAAGAACAATTGGAGCTCCAGAGTATTGTCATGCAAATTTCACCAAGTATTTCACGTATGAGTTCTGGTTTAACAGTGATTTCTCCAGGGTTTTTGAAGGGAAAAATCCTTGTTACTTTAACACAGGAGTGATGATAATGGATTTAAAGAGATGGAGGGAGAATAATTATACAGGAAAGATTGAGAAGTGGATGAAAATTCAGAAGGAGAAGAGGATTTATGAGCTGGGTTCTCTTCCACCATTTTTATTAGTATTTGGTGGAGATGTGGAAGCCATTGATCATAGATGGAATCAACATGGACTTGGAGGAGATAATGTGGTGAATAGTTGCAGAAGATTGCACCCAGGGCCGGTGAGTTTGCTCCATTGGAGTGGGAAAGGGAAGCCCTGGGCGAGGCTTGACGCGAAGAAGCCTTGTCCAGTTGATTATTTGTGGGCACCTTATGATCTCTATAAGTTTGGTAAACATTCTGGGAACCAAGAACAGTGACAGCAAAAATATTGATTCATTCTTTTGGTTTTTGATGAGTCTAAATTTTTTTTTTGTATAGACAGAGACACAGAGTTCATGTAGAAATACATTTTTTCATTATTAATTTTTTTCTGTATTGTTATATTATTGTAAATGATTTTGGTGGGAAGAAAGTAGAAGATTTTGTTATTTTTGTCTGTGTGATTTGTGATCAATCAGCATCATAGTATGGCAAAGTTATAAGAAAAATCGCGATCTGGTGCTTATAACCATACTCTGCTTTGCACCAACTCAAACCGAACCAAAATTGCAAGGCCATGATGATCAAAACAATGGAAAAACCTATATATGTAACAGATCCAAGCTTCTCTTACAAGACTCAAAACTGCCAATATCTTTTAATTCATTGATTTTATTATTCTTTTTCTAGATACTTTAACCAAATTCTTAGTCAATTGATTGATTTCTCATCACTGAACTATGAAGCTTAACTGCTTTAAAAACATTATACTGCACTAAAAGCCATGCATTAAACCCAATATCTATGAAGCTCTTGTAAACACAAAGGAAACCAAATGATCTCCTGACTCAACAGTTCCCAGAAGCCGTGGAACATTTCTTCAGTCTCCATCCCAATTGTGAACAGAAGCATCAAAAGTCTGTTATGCAAATTATTGGAAAGTTTCACAATGGACTTTTGGATAGCCAGAGACTTGGAAAGTGGTTGGGGTCAAACATCAGCACCAACCCAATATCATCACAACACATTGCAATGTAATTTACTTGAAGCTTCGGTTGAGTAGTGCGGTGGGCGACGATGAATCGTCCAAGCCTTGGATATATAAATTTCAAGGGCAAACATAAATCTTGTATTTGGAATTGGACCAAGTCAGGTCTTGAGCAGCTTATTTACATTAGATTATTTATTGCAAAACATGACGATAACCTGGCAAAGCCATTGATTAAAAAAAATTCAAGAAAATATGGGCATTTCCATAATAACAATAATAAATCTGACCATCTAATGCATTGAACCAAAAGAACAAGCACAAAGAATTGGACAAATACTAATGTATATCACGAGCAGACATCGCAACGACTAAACCCAATGATAGGCATGGAAATAGTAATTTTGTTTTATGGAAGATTGAATGTTTCTCGGGAAAATGCTCAAAGCAACAATGCGTGGTAACTATGAACTGTTTTGCTTTTAACTTGAAAATTGTAAGTTAAACATATGAACCAAAGAAAAAGAAAACCAGAAAGAATATACATGCCCCTCTTACCCTTCACTTTACAACAATCCAACAACACAGGTTAGATGTAGTCTATTCTCCAACCCTCTCAAATGATGACCCAGTAGCATACACCTGCCAACAAAAAATACTCTTTAATATGTGATCCATGGATTTATTCGTAAGGCAAACACAAATTTTATGATAATTCAAGAGAAATTATAACAGTAAGTAATTATCTAATGTAACCAAAGCAAGGGGAGGTACTTTGTAATTATAACTCCTATGGCATTATTACGAATTTGAGTGTTGTTAAGTTCATAAACTTCTTTCTTGTGTGCATGTGCACAGTAGAAGAATAAGGTAAATGCAGTAATGAACAATTCAAATGATAAACTTTTATAAGAGCAGGTTGATGAAAATTTAAGAAGAAAGGTCACATTACCAGAAAAGCAACTTTGCAAGATAGTCTCGGGATGTGCCTACTGTGTGACAATTTTCATCAACGGCATCTTGTTCATTTTCCATGTTTGCAACGACAGAATCTACCATAAATTTTGATGTGGCATCATCTTTAAAAAATCTTTGCAAAATGTTTTGAACAAGTTGGTGAATAATTTCTTCCACCTCTACTGATGACGGTTGGGATAATTCATTCACCTGTTGGAAAGAATTAGTACAATAAGACATTCCAAACCAAATAAAGGCTTACACTACAGAACTTACCCTTATTTTTTCAGGTTATGAAAATTTTGAATTCTAACATCAATGAGAAGTAACCATATATCAAACAAAAGGTGTTAGAACTTTACCATATCAGGATCCAAGGATCGCAAATACTCTAATAAATCGTTCCTATTTCCCCTGTCATATTCCATCTTCCTATTTTTCTGCTTGAAAGTATCCAATTCCTGAACAAAAGAAACTGATCAGTTCCAAAGGGAAATACCAATCTACATGTCTTCTGAATATGAATGGAAGCACCACAAAGCATTCAAATAATTGTGGATATGCATACACATATAACCCTAAACGAGAAAATAAAATGACACTGCAAGAATTTTTTTTCCATCCAAACAGGCCATGCATACGTCTTCACTTTGTGCTTTTAAGAGATTGTTTGGGTAGTTATATATCTCTATATAATACATACATTTCAAGAACCACAAAGGCATTAAAAGAAAAAGACGAAGATGTCTATTTGTTTTTGTAATGAGTATTGTCATTTGAACAATATGTTTGAGTGTTCCAATCACTTTGTATTGGATCTCTGCTACTGTTATTGGTTTGTGGTCATTGAAAAACATGTATGACACACATCAAAGCTACTATTTAATATATCATGCCATTATGTATTGTATGTGATAAATATTACAAGCTTAGGACATCCAAATCTGTTTCTTTTTTAAGAATAGAGAAGAAATTTGTTTGAATTTGTGCCATGAGGGAATAGTATGAAAATATTTCCTTTTAATCTAATTTACAAAAATTTTGGTTCTTATTAAAGGCAAATCAGTCAATGAAACACGGTCCTAGAGTTATATAAACTATGACACATGCACTTGGAGCTGTGGTTTACCATTTGACTGATACACAATAGGTTTAGGTCGTCATTTGGTCTCTTGGGAGCACATGAAGCAAAACATGACAATACAATGAAAGTGATAAGACTTTGAAAATCATGTCATTTACCGAAACTAAGCAGATAGAGACTGCTAAAACAAATGGTTACACTTGTTCTAATCTTGCTCATACAAGACATGCTTTCAAACACAACAAGGTCAAGTGTGCTCCAAGGAAGGATTTAATGGGGCACCAAAACTTTAAAAAGTTAGTTTCAAGCACAAGAGAAGCAAAAGGGGAGGTCATAAGAAAGAAAAAAACCAATATGAGTTGCTATAACTGTGAAAAGTAGTTAGGGTAAGTGCATTGAGGCAAAACAAGTACTCCCTAATTTTTACTTCTCTCACTGATTGTTTTGTATACATAGTCCAGGTTTAGTAGTTCATTCTCATCATTTATAAGTTACAGACTTTATAGCAACCAACCATACATCAAAGTTCCAAAAAGAAGCAAAAAAAGTGTGTATGGCAATGACACCCACTTTTCAGCTCATTATGTGATTGATTGCTCCAAAGCCTGTATCTTAGGATGTAGAGAATGAGCGTCTAAAGGTTCACTAGATACAAGAAAGTCAATGCAAGAAATAGAATCATTAAGTAACTTCTTTGGCTCGATACACACATGAGCAAAGTGTCCTAATCAGTAACACTTATAACAAATCATTTTGTCTTTATGCTTCTTACCACCTTTTAGTCTCTCCTGCACTCAAAGCTAACTCCCTTGGACTATGGTGCAAAATCACCAAATCCCTTGGATGAACTTTTGCCTTATGTTCACAACAATCTTGAGCTATGTTGCCCACTTCAAGTGCATCCATGATGTTATCAAGTGTTTCCAAGACCTTTTTTTTTTGTTTTTTTTTTGTTTTTTTTTTTTTTCCCATTTAGGAAAAAGTGGATCTTTTGCCGCATAAGTATCATAACTGCCACCATCCAATCTCTAGCACTTGTTTAGATCATAAATAATTTTCTTAGCAACAACTTTCAATTCCATAAGGTATACATGGAATGTTAACAAAAATAGGTCAACATGTATAAAACAATTTCTCACCACAAATTAGAAAATAATGGGTATCTTTTACAATCACTTACCAAAACCAAATGAAGTTCCAATCAAACAATAAATCATCTAATCACAAGAAAAAAGGTCAATATCACACTTAGAGCAAAACCGGGAGATCTCATGATTTTATATGTGTAGTTCTTGAAATGTAAGTGACGTTCTATAGAGATGCAATTATAACTATCAAAATCATCTGTTATCTCTAAAAACTAGGGCCACGGGATAATGAAAACCTCATATTAACAATTAAACATACATATTGGACTTAGTACAAAACCCAAATGGGCACACCAATGAGTTCTTACTTGGGTCCAAGGGAAAATAAACTAACACATCAGGTTTTTGTTGATACTGCACATTTAATTCTTAGACACAGCAATTATAGTTAATGTAAAAGGCCCTAAAACCCCCACCTTCCAAGTCTTAGAAGAAAAAGATATACATGGTAAAATATTCTGAAAACTTCCTTACAAAATAAAATAAAATAAAATATAAACATTTCCTATTAAATTTATATTAAAAGTCATCCTATTAGACCATGAAGCAAATTTCAATAATTTAACAGATTTGCTCTGGGCAGATAAAAAATACAAAAATGTTTTCAACCATTAACAATTTGACAAAGAAATCAAAATTCAAATAGATAGAAATCCAGATACAAATCTGTCTTCACATGCTAGACAATGAATTCTGTTACTGTTTCTATGACTAACATATCCCTAAAACATTATCATAACCATAACTGCATCATTCATCTTGATGACCTGATATCTTCCATTAATTTCCAAATACTCATTGATTATCCAATTGTTTTTTCCCCATAAAGTCACGTAACAAGATGAATGTTTAAATTGAAAACTAAAAAGCATCAAGCGAAATATAAAATATTCACTACTCACCTCCTTTACATCAGATAACTCGGATTGCAGCCGCTGTACATAATTCAAAGCCTCTTGAGACAAACCCCCAAAAACTTGTGGACTTATTTCCTCCAACTTTTCAACGCCGATCTGACCACTCTTACTCGCTGTCTTTTCACATTTCTTGTCAGAAACCTCACTTTCTCTTGAAACACTCAACCTCTTTAAACCATCCACCGATATATCAAAATTCCTCATCAGCGAAATCCTATACTCGGCATTCCATAACGTATACCTACCAAAAGAACAAATATCAATTCAGAATTCTACTCAACTTTCAACGTTTACAAACTCAAAAACTTAAATAATAATAAAGATAAATTCAATCACCTAAACAAGTATGCCATGCCTCCCGCACCAAAAACCAATCCATTAAGTATTAATCCATTATAAAATCAACTTAATTTCAATACTCAAGAACTCGAAAACTGAAATTCCATAGAAGTTAAAACCTAGAGAACTCGGAAATAAAAGTATGCAATTAAAGATTAGAAAGTAAAATATTGAGCTCCAAAACTATAAAATCAGAGAAGAATTAACTAATTATAAAATAATATATAAATTTAAGAAATAATTACCCTGTGATGATGGAAGACACAAGAAGCCAATCGAGAGGTTGCTTAGAAACCCTAACGTTGATAGAGAACTGATCGGAAGGGAGAAGGCCAAGCATAGTAGAGATGGTCTGCTTCATGGAGTCCTTGGCAGCATGAGAAACTCCCTTGGAGATAACGGAAGTATCTAGAGGCTCAATTCTCTTGAGCAAATTCGCAATCACGAGAAAGCCGCGGTCAAAATTCGACATCCGAGTAGAAACAAAGTCGTCGTTGAAGACACCGCCGCCGCTGATGCAGCTGACCGTGGCGGAAAAGGAGGCGGAGAAGCGGCGGTGGACGGGGAAGCAGCGGAGTAGGTGGTGATGGTGGCGGCAAAACGAGTGGCGAGAGTGGAGACGGTCAGGTGACAGGGCGGTGACGCGAGAAAGAGTGAAAGGTCGAGCTGCGGTTGCCATGTAAAGAGGTGAGGTGAGCTTCGACGAGCTCTTCTCCGCCTCGTGTTGATGTGGAAGAATCTTTTCGCTTTTACCCTTTTATATTTTCGTGTCTGTTGTCTTGCACTTATCTTAGCCCACCAACGCCAAGTATTTTCTTCTTAGGGTCCGGTTAGCAATTTCATGATATCCGAGGATAAACGATTATAACGGTTATGAGCTTAGGAAGGGGTTTTAGTAGCAATTTTTAAAATATATTCGAGAGTTTATTTCTTAACAGTTTTAACATAATTTTAAAATGTTAAATTTACATATATATTTATAAAAGTATCTAATTTTAATTAGTATTTGAAAGTTTTATTTTTTTAATTATAAAGTAAAAGTTTTTTATTTATTTTTACTTATTAGTATTTTATAACTTCAAATGATAAAGTTTTCTTATTATTTTTCGTCATTCTTTGCAACATTTATAATAATTGAAAAATTGTAATTCCATTTCTCCAAGAAAGTATATAGAAATGAGATTTTAATAATTTTTTTATAATTACTTAAAATTATTTTATATTTAATATGGTTGAAGACGTGCATTATATGGGTAAATTTTTTTTGGATATAATTAGGATAGTTTTATAGTGGATAGGGTATTTGTGGAATAAAATTTTATAATTAAAACACCCTGGTTTAGGGTATTTTATAAACCGCTCAAAAATACACTATACTAGTTCCAAAGGATTTTTGAGCCAGTCAAACCCGTATAAAAAATCTAATAAGTAATGATTTTAAAACACCTCAAAACCAGTTTAATTAAAAGTCCTTAAAAAAAAAAAAAAAAAAAAACTGTTAGACAGAACCTTAGGGTTCTGAGCGAGAGAATGCCACTAGAATTTTCGTTTATTACCATTTTGCCATAAAACCTCTGTTAATTCATTTTGGGAGGTTTTTACATGGTACCCCCTATAGTTTAGTAAAAGTAAAAAGGATTCACACATTTCAGACTGAAACGCTTACAACCCATGTAGAATCTGTAGATTCGTAATGGACACTTACCTTAGTAATTGATTGAATTTTATGAAAAGTAACTATCTAATATTTTGATCATGCGACAAATATGAGATATTAACTTTCTTTTATTATAGAAAAAAAAAATCAAAATAAGGGTATTTTAAGCATTATACCAAGATTTTGGGCACAAAAAATTTATCAATTAACAGTGTTAAGTATTCCATCCGAAATCAGTGGGTTTCTTTGTTGTTTCATTAAACCTCAGGACTGTCCATGGACAAACCTCTTCATTTGGGTCTTGCTTATATTAACGAAAGCCGGCCGCTGTCCCTCTTGCGCCTTCCAAACTAAGCTTCACGCAATTATTTTGCCATTTGTTTTTTGCTTCTCAAAAGCCGTTCGGAACAAATTATGGTTAGATAGAGAATTTTCTTCTTGGGTAAAAACTCTAAAATACTATCAATTTGATATAATAATAAAATTAAAAAAAAAATAGCCTTCTGTACCCCATTGTCATAATGGGAATTCATAAATAAGCCATAGATGTAAAAGCCAAAAAAAAAAAAATCCAAAAAGAATTCCTCAAATAAAAATCAAACAGCATTAATATCTCTCGACTGCCTCTCACATCAATTGGAAAACATTTCATGATCAAACTTGAAATGTCCCAAAAATCAAAATTTTGATAATTGACTCAAGACTTGGAAAAAAAAAAAAACCACTAACCAAACCAAATTATACTTACAAGTTTTGAGAGCTTTACATACATAGATCCGATCACTCCATCTTCTTCTCCAACCATCCAAACAAACTCACACAGCAACTCAACCATGCCCATCTCTTCATACATTTCCAACACTCGCCGTGGAACCTCCACGTGGGCTCGCTCCCTTCTCCCTTCAACCACCACCCCCAAATCTAAAATCTCCTCCAGGAAGTCACGTAAACGGACGGCCTTGATCAACTTCCTCTTAACCCATTTCTTCACCATCGCTCTTTCACTCTCTGTTCTTTTCCTCCTCTTAACCATCTTCTTCTTTGGCGTCCCCAAACCCATTTCTTCCCACTTCAAATCCAAACCTCCTTCTCGTCTTTCCCGGCCCAGAAAACCCTTTTCTCGGAATCTCCACAACGGCTCCGTTTCCGAGCCCAGAGCTGATATAACCACCAAGGGTTTGTATGACAAGATTCAGTTTTTGGACGAAGATGGCGGGCCCTGGAAGCAAGGTTGGGTTGTTAAATACAGAGGTGATGAGTGGGATAGTGAGAAATTGAAAATCTTTGTGGTGCCTCACTCGCATAACGATCCTGGTTGGAAGCTCACTGTTGAAGAGTACTATGAACGCCAATCTAGGCATATACTTGACACCATTGTGCAGACTTTATCAAAGGTGATCCATTTTTTGGCGGGCATTTCTTCAATTCTTTTGTTTACGGTGATTTTGAGGTGTTTGGATTAATCTGGTTGCTGTTGCATTAAAAAAAAAAAAAAAAAAACCTGATTTGTACTCCTAAAAAGTTGTTCATCAAAAGGCAAAAATTTTGCGAAACTCTTTCATGCGAAGTTGATTGGAAATTGCAAAATTTTTTCTTTTAACCTTTCTGAGTTAAGGTCTGGATGTCTTATAAGAGAGAAAAACTTTTGGTTTATAATTATTAACTTTGGGAGAACTAATGCAGTTGGGTTTTGTGTTTATGTTTAGTAGTATTTAATAGCTATGAGAATGATAAGGATTGTTTGGATATGGGATTTGCAGGATGTTCGACGAAAGTTTATATGGGAAGAGATGTCTTATCTGGAGAGATGGTGGCGGGATTCTACAGAGAGCCAAAGAGAATCTTTTACCAATTTAGTGAAGAATGGACAGTTGGAAATTGTTGGAGGTGGTTGGGTCATGAATGATGAGGTAAAATATTCCTGTTGTTTGAATAAAAAAAATCACTTACTACTCTGAGAAAATGGAATTATTTTAGAATAATTTTTCTGTATTGAGGTTTGAATTGACAAATTGTTGGTTCCTCTTGTTGTAGGCCAATTCACATTATTTTGCTATCATCGAGCAGGTATGAACTTAAAGTGTTCCTTAAATAGTTTTTAGAGATTAATATGTTCCTTGGTTATATGATGAGCATGCAGCTTCAATTGATTGGTTGGATGTTTCTATATCATCAATTTTTTGATGTGAGTGGCTATGTAGTGCATTTAGTTCATAACTTATTGAGTTGTTCGTGCTAATATTATTTAATATTGGATGGCTTTTAATTTCCTTATAGCATTTGAGACACTTCTCTTGTGATTTTAATTTTTTGTGAAAGGTCAAAATACAATGATGTTAGAGTTCCAAAGAGAAGAAAGTTGAATGATTTGCATTTGAATTGAAATATCTAAGAAAAGTATTCATGAATTAGATCTAAGTTGAATTTTTTATTTTCTTTCTGGTGCAGTACATTTTTGAAACATTCTTTAGAATGGTTTCAAGCCTCCATTGGTTTAGAAATTTTTTTTTTCAAAATAAGATAACATTCAATCTTGTATTTTTTCTGTATTCCTACCGGCCGTTATTTTGTTTTCTAATCCTCTGTGGTGGCTTATGTAACACAATGATATGTTGATGAGTAGATGATACATACTGGGGTAAATAATGTTCATTCTATCTTGCTCTACTTTTTATTATAATCATGCAGATGTTTTGAAAGGTTCAGGTCTCATTTGATATTTTAGCTCCTTTGCAATATGTTATTGTGAATTGAGATATTTTATAGCCAATCCAGAGATAGATTTATGTTTTTGGCTTATCAATGTAAAAAGGTGCTATTGGACACAATAACATACACATCCACATATACTCACACAGCCATACCGACACCCATAATCACATGTGACAGCTGTCCTTGTGTTTGTATCCATGTTGATGATCAGCTAGTTTTCTAACTTGCGATAACCGTGTCCTCAAATAGATCTAGAATTTTAATGTTTATTTTGATCCATTTATCAGATTGCCGAGGGGAACATGTGGTTGAATGACACCATTGGGTTTATTCCTAAGAATTCTTGGGCAATTGATCCATTTGGTTACTCGGCTACAATGGCATATCTCCTCCGTCGTATGGGTTTTGAGAACATGCTTATTCAAAGGACCCACTATGAACTGAAGAAAGAACTGGCTTTGCACAAAAATTTGGAATATGTATGGCGTCAAACTTGGGATGTTGATGAAACTACTGACATTTTAGTGCACATGATGCCTTTCTATTCATATGATGTTCCACATACTTGTGGACCAGAGCCTGCTATCTGTTGTCAGTTTGATTTTGCTCGAATGTTTGGCTTTTCTTATGAACTGTGTCCATGGGGACAACATCCAGTTGAGATCAAGAAGGAGAATGTGCAGGAGAGGGCACTGAAACTTTTGGATCAATATAGGAAGAAATCAACATTATACCGGACAAATACACTTCTCATCCCTCTTGGAGATGATTTCCGTTACGTCACCATTGACGAAGCTGAAGCACAGTTTAGGAATTACCAATTGTTATTTGATTATATCAACTCAAACCCCAGTTTAAATGCAGAGGCAAAATTTGGTACTTTGGATGACTACTTCCAAACACTTCGTGAGGAGGCTGACAGAATAAATTATTCTGGTCCTGGTGAGGGTGGCTCTAGTCAGATTGTAGGTTTTCCTTCTCTGTCGGGTGACTTCTTTACTTATGCTGATAGACAACAGGACTACTGGAGTGGCTATTATGTTTCAAGACCTTTCTTCAAGGCTGTTGATCGGGTGCTAGAGCAAACTCTTCGTGCAACAGAAATGATGATTGCGTTGTTGCTTGGTTATTGTCAAAGGCCACAATGTGAGAAGTTCCCCACAAGTTTTGCTTACAAGCTGACAGCAGCAAGGAGGAATTTAGCTCTTTTCCAACATCATGATGGGGTAACCGGTACTGCAAAAGATCATGTTGTTCAGGACTATGGAACCCGGATGCATACTTCTTTACAGGATTTGCAGATTTTCATGTCTAAAGCTATTGAAGTCCTGATTGGAATGCGTGAAAAATTTGATCAGACTGTATCCCAGTTTGAGCCAATACAATTGAGATCTAAATATGATGTTCAGCCAATGTACAAAGCAATCAGTGCTCATGAAGGTACATCACAATCCGTGGTCTTTTTTAATCCTTCGGAGCAAACAAGGGAAGAGGTTGTAATGATTATTGTTAATAGGCCAGATGTTACTGTTTTGGACTCAAATTGGACCTGTGTACAAAGCCAGATTTCTCCTGAAGTGCAGCATGATAGGAGCAAAATCTTTACTGGGAAGCACCGTCTTCACTGGAAAGCTTCTATTCCCGCCATGGGGTTGCAAATATATTACATTGCTAATGGTTTTGCTGGGTGTGAAATAGCAAAACCGTCAAAACTAAAATACTTATCAAAGTCCAATTCTTTCTCTTGCCCTACTCCTTATGCTTGCTCAAAAGTAGAAGGTGATGTGGCTGAAATCCGGAATAGACATCACATTCTCACCTTTGATGTCCAGCGTGGGCTATTGCAGAAAGTAAGCCATATAAATGGCTCCCTAAATGTTGTGCATGAAGAAATAGGTATGTATTCTACTCGGGAAAGTGGGGCCTACCTATTCAAACCCATCGGTGATGCTCAGCCTATTATCGAAACTGGTGGCTTGATGATTATTTCTGAAGGACCTTTGATGCGGGAAGTATACTCTTACCCAAGGACTGAATGGGAGAAAAGCCCCATATCCCATAGTACTCGCATTTATAATGGAGATAATACGATACAGGAATTTGTCATTGAGAAAGAATATCATGTTGAGCTTCTTGGCTATGATTTCAATGACAAGGAGCTGATAGTTAGGTACAAAACTGATATTGATAATAGCAGGATATTCTATTCCGACTTAAATGGCTTTCAGATGAGCAGGAGAGAAACCTATGACAAGATCCCGTTGCAGGGAAATTACTACCCTATGCCTTCACTTGCATTCATGCAAGGTTCCAATGGTCAGCGATTTTCTGTTCATTCTCGGCAGTCACTGGGTGTGGCAAGCCCCAAGGATGGATGGTTAGAGATTATGCTTGACCGACGTTTGGTAAGAGATGATGGCCGTGGTCTTGGGCAAGGAGTGTTGGATAACCGTGCAATGAATGTAATCTTTCACATCCTTGTGGAATCCAACATTTCTTCTACTTCAAATCATGTTTCCAACCCACTTCCCTTAAGCCCCTCTCTTCTATCACATCTTGTTGGTGCTCACTTGAACTATCCATTACATGGATTTGTTGCCAAGAAGCCACAGCAGTTATCTGTGCGGCCCCCACCTAGATCCTTCTGTCCTCTAGCCGCTTCCTTGCCATGTGACTTGCATATTGTGAATTTTAAGGTTCCCCGGCCATCAAAGTATTCTCAGCAGGCACCTGGAGATTCTAGGTTTGTTTTAATCTTTCAGAGGCGACATTGGGATTCTTCGTACTGTCGGAAGGGCAGATCACAGTGCATTAGTGTTGCTGATGAGCCTGTAAATTTGTTTTTCATGTTCAAGGAACTTACAGTATCAAATGTAAGGGCAACTTCTTTAAATCTCATGCATGAAGACACAGGAATGCTTGGGTACCCTGAGCAGTTAGGTGATAATACTCACGAGGGACATGTAATGATTTCGCCCATGGAAATACAAGCATACAAGCTGGAGTTGCGACCAAACGAGTGAATGACAATTAGGGATTTAGTGACCTTGTTCTCATTGATGCTGATGAAGTGTGGTTAGCAAAAAGCAAAGAAGAGCAACATTCATATCCCACATGGACATTTCAGGATTTACACATCTATCTGTTTCTATTTCTTGAAATCTCTGATCAAGTATTACATGGCAAATACTATCGGAAAAGTGGTAAAAGGGGAGTCAGTCAATGAAACAGTCCGGTGGTACCTAGCTGAGGAAGTAATCTGAAATATGTGGCCCGGATTTTCCATTTAGTCAGCAATTGATATTATTAATTAGATAATAGAAGGAAAATTCATCTGCTACACTTTTGTCTGAGTTTGCCTGGGAAACAACCTTTTGATTTTGTGTCTTCCAGACTAAGAGTCAAAATCAGGTTGAGGTTCAATTTTTACTCTCTTATAGATTTTGCTGTGAACAGAATGTTTCTGTAGTCGACTTATACTTGTGTACTAAGATAGTTTTTTTGTGATGTATTTGTTGCTTTTAAGATACATATCAAGAAAAATTTTGGATAAAAAGTTTCAGATTGTGATCAATTTGCTCCTGTATCCCATCCTTCATTGACTGTTAACTGTTTACAGATCTCAATGTATGTTTTAGAGAACTCTTTAAACCTCTAGAGAAGTTTTTTCGTTGAAATTTTGGAAGATTCTTTGCGGCTGGAGGTTATTTTTTTGAACTGGTGTAAAGTAGGATTTTAGGAAATAAAAAAATAATATTTTTTTTTAATTTTATACAGATTCATAATATGTTTCATATTCATAAAGCAATATTGTTCTCACAGTGACAATACAGTATTGTGCCACATATCTATTCCAGAACTTCGTAAAGCATCAAAAAGGCTCAGCCAAATGAACAAAATCATTAAATCAGAAACCTTTTCATTCTCACTTGAACAATTTTAGAATACAGATGAAAGTCAAAATGGGAGATTACATCAAAAGCCTGTGATTGGAAAAATTTTCCTGCAATTGAATTCCAACTCAACCTTACAATTTTGCTTTCTGGGATTAAGTTAAAACGCTGACCAGGAGGCTTAATAATATCTCTTTTTGTTACAAAATGATCTCCTCCTGTACACTGACGTTAAGAGTCTTGTTTGGAAGAACAATGCTGTTGATCACCACAACCTCATCTTCTACAGTACCTGCTTCTCCTGCACAATTATAAACCAGGACTCAACCATTTGTTCAAGCGCAATGAAGTTCTACTTTTAAGCATAGCATAAATGATACTGGATCATTGAATGGAGAAACGAAAAAGGAATGATAGATACCGAGGATGGTGATTCCAAGCTTCTCATTGTAGTCCCCACTTCCCTGAACCAGTCAATTGGAATATCAATCAGTCACAATAACCAGCAATAGCATGCGTTTTAATTTACATTCACAAGGGTAACAATGAGATCCTAAATTTAAGGTAAATCTAGAAGCTGGTTTTACAAGCATCCTCAGAAAATATTGTCAAGTAAATCATTTTCTACATATAAACTTGAAAAAAAATTTGACTAGAATGTGATGGTAATTGATTAAAGAAAATACATAATTGCAAAGAAAGTCTTCTGAATAACAAATTTTTTGATTTTAAAGTTACATGTTTCAGTAGAATTACTGAAATTATTTTCACAAATAAGCAACTAATACTAGAATTGATGCATTCCAATCACTAACTTGTTAATGTACCAAAAAGCACTGTCATAAGTTTGGATGTACAACATATAATGATCATATGAATTTCGAACACTCACTTTTAACCACTTATAAGCATATCATATGTTAAACTTTCAACCCCATCAAAAACTGAAAGTGATCTGCTACTGATTCTTAAACTATTTTCTTCATCCTATGATCTGTAAGCTTTCATTTTAATAAAATTAACTACATCAGGAAAATCCTTAAAGAATCTGTAAAGTTGATTGGCAAATGTTGATCTGCAATAGTGCACTTGCCTGAACACGGGACCATTTCCCAAGTGAAGATTTCCATCCAACGATAGAATTTATTACAACAGCATTTTCCTGTCAGGAGAAAAATTGCGTTACAATTTTTACCCTTTTCTAGGAATATAGATACAATTCTAGTGTATGCATTACATACCTTAATGTCTACATCATCCAAGATGATGCAACTTATAAGCCTCACACCTGCTCCTACACGAACATTCGCTGAAATTGAGACATTTGGCCCAATCTGTTCAGAAAGAAACTAAGAAGTTAGCAAAAATATGGCAGAAGAAGACTACAAAAAATTAAAAATTAAAAACTGCATCAGAATATATGCAGATGAATCCCAAAAGGGCAGGGGAATGGAAATGAGGGAAAAAGAAAACTCGGCACTACATTTTAACATTGTACCATTGTCTCTCAAGGGCAGGTTTCACGGTTCTAAGGGGAAAATAATAGATAGGAGCTATAGTTACCAAAAATGTGTGAGGACAGGTCTGGCATTTAAGAGTACATTCTTACAAGGAAGAATAATTTTGTTTGGTGAAATGTCCTAATTGAAACAAGAGAAAAGCAACAATGGTTCAACCCTTTAAATACTATTTTAAAATTGTAGAAGTACAAAACACTAAAAACAGTTACTAGAAAGCATACATATGTTGGCAGGAGATGAGATGGAACTACCTTTGCAGTTGGATGTACTTTAGCAGATGGGTGGATGAACACATCACCAGTTACTGAAGCATTCATTATTCCATCTCCCCTGGCCAAAAGATGGGGAGAGTTCATTTTAAATTGTGCTAGATACAAAGCTGAACATTTCAGAGACATCCTGTAATGTTAAGCAGATTTAGTAAAGGCAGATTATTGTATAGGAGTAGCAAAAGGAAAAAGTTACAGCAGGATAACTTTACCCTGGAGTCTTGATCTGTTCCCAGAAATCCGTGGTCTCATATGTATAAAGTTGCTTCTTCCCAGCAAGAGGAGATAAAATATCCTGATCCAACCTTACAAAATCTACAGGAAGGGCCCTGATGAAGAAAAGAGTATATAATAAACATTGGAGAACAAATTTTAGCTTATAGATTACTATTTGAGCATATATATGAACAACATCAATACTATCGTAAAAGTAAAATCATGATATTCTCAGCTTGTTAAAATGCAACAGTTAACATTTTTTTCTCATATGTTTCCTAAAATTTCAGAAGCAAGAGTAGTAAGAAGATACAAGAACTGAAAAATATGATGCACCTTGTAGCAGCCTGGAGGGCTTCAAAGCTGGACACCCGGCGTATATTAGCTGCAATTGACAAATCCCATGGTAGGTACCAAAGAGAATAGAAAACATTTCTCCAGATATAGAAAATCAAATGAAACAACCAACACTTTGTTAGATGTGACATGATAATGAATACAGAGTTACAGATAAGCATTACATAGCTTATTCAGTAATGATTGTTTGATTGTAGCATAGAGAATGTTTTTGAACATAAAAACTTTTGTCACATGGAAGAAAAACATAATCATTGTTGAGGACGATTTTGTCATTATAAGAAGCCATAAAACACTCAATAAGTGAAAACTTATATTTTTTATATTGAAGATGATTCTTTCAACACTTTTTGGCCCATAATGACACAGGCCAAGAAAAGAGAAGGCCAAAAAAGGGAGGCAGGTTTGCACATTCAAATATGAAATCATTTTTTCCTCTGAAAACAAAAATGAATATATATTAGGATTTGCAATGGAAACAGGGCATTTGCCCACTGGCTGCTGCAACCCTTTATTTTCACCTAGAACACGAATGTATAAAGAACAAATACAGTTATAAATGGTCACAATTGCCAATTTTAAGTAAGCAAGAAAGATGTGTTCCAGTATCAAATCGAAGAGCATAGGTATCAAACTCTAGCCCTCTCCTTTGTGACTTCCCAATCATGTTCAATCAGTCAGCCAAAACAAAACAGAGCGAAACGAAATTGATAGGGACTCTCAACCCATAGATGCCACTGTGAGCATGTTTAAGTTTGTATTACATCCTCTTCGCTTAATAAGGTCTGATGTTGGCTTCTTAGTATCAAGCCCAGGTTTGATTGAAACTTTGAGCATAATCTACTTACAAATGAACATTTAACACAATAATTAGCAGTCACATGATTTCAATTACTCTTCTCATGTGTGACGCTGATACAAACTAAAGGCAAAGCATCTTAGTAGATCAAACAATATACATAAATAGAGGTGCTAAATCTATAATAAGTATGCAGGACACCAAGAAACAATGAAGTACATCCTACAAAGATGAGAAATGATAGTTAAGGAAGCCACGAAAACTTCGACTGACTTGTGGAATAGCATATTTTTGCTAAAATCCATACATTTTTTCTCATGCAAATACACACAAGAAAATTATAAATGTTTGTTGCAAGGTGATCCATGTTCAAATGTATGAAATAATAAAAATATCTTCTAGCTATTTGCTAACCAGGAAGAACAAGAATCTTCAACTAATCAGCAATGGATAAAGGCCAACCTCTATCCTCCCGATGAGTAAAGACATCATGAATGGCAGTAAAGATATCTGGGGTAAAGACGTAAACACCACAGTTGATTAAATCACTTACCTGCATTTGATGAATAATGCAAATGTTTAAGGAAACAGAAAAAAAAAATCAAGTAAAAAAAAAAATCAAGTAAATCATCAGGACTACTAAGCATAGAACTACTTTGCAGTTCGCTGATTGAAAAACTGAATCACGTTCTTACAAAAGTCTCAGGTTTCTCTGTGTAATGCAACAGTTCTTTGGTGATTGGATCAGCGACCAACTCACCAAACTGGTGGGCAGACTCAGCAGAAACCTGCAGATGGAGGGGAAAATCATATTATGATGACAATCAGAGTGCTTGCAACAAAGAATGACGCTGTAATGTAAATCTGAAAATTTTAAATAAATATTCAAACAAAAATAATTAGTAAATGTTCCAACCTTGATTACTAGCATTGTTCCCATCCCACCACTTCTTTTATGGGCCTCTGCCAAAAAAAAAAAAAAAAAAAAGCAATTATATTTTCTAATTACTCATTTATGATTTAACAAGTCACTAAGTCAATACCTCCAACAGAAATACAAGAAAGTTAGGTATAGGTTTTGTATAAGCAAGCACAGATAAGACATTTAACCAATACAAGCAGGAAACTTACCAAGCATGTCAGTGAGCGGAAAATTGCAGCAAACATCACAATTCAGCAGAAATATATGTGACTGCTCAATAAAAGTAAATGCAATGTATCTGTGAGGAGATATATACAAATGGATACAAACAGAATATATATGATAGTATAAACAATTTTTGGAATAAAAGCAATTGCAGCCACTTACTTTATCAGAGAAACAGACATTTAATGAAAATGATTAACAATTAAAAACAAAAAGGATCTTTTTTTCTAAACATTGAGACAAAGAGACAAAGCAAATTAAAAAAGAATTAAAATTGAACAAGTTCAAAGTTCGAACCGGGCTGTCTTCCATGATCATGTCTCTGAAGTAATAAAGGCCACCAGCTGAACCATGTGGTTTATCCTCTTTTAAGTATCTAAAGCAACAGAATTAACACGAACAAAATTAAACTCCATCCATGTTACTTAAAAGCTTATAATCATGATCAAACCTGACAATCATTTCAGTAATCACCTCACTGGCAGTTTCAACTCATTAGAGATGGAAGAAACATATAATGCAAATTCCCTTTCCTCATAGAACCCAATTAGAAATATTTGAGCCAAGTTTGGAATCTACAAAAAAGATCAAAACCTCTCCAAATCATTCCATAAAAACATCACAATTTTTTTCTACTTACATAAAGGGAAAGAAAAAAAAAAAAAAACCACAAACCCTTTTGCAAGCTGAAATTGGATGATGAACCATTGGCTGACCAGCTAATGGAAATAATGGTTTTGGTGTATTGAAAGATAAGGGTCGAAATCGAGTCCCTTCAAACCAAAAAATAAAATAAATAAATAAAAATAAAAATTATCAACTTCCAATTCTAAGAACAAGATTTCCACAAAGTACAAACTTTTATGAGAAATTAAAATCAAAACCTTTGGTGGGTCCGCCAACCATGATCACAGCAACCACTTTCTCCATATTTAGAAACCCTAGATCCCTACTTCACAAACTGAAACTTTTTCAAGCCCTTGTTCTCGTTAAGATGAAGCAGAAATAGCAGTTTCAGTGAAGTAAAAAGAAAGAGCAACTTGTTTCAAGTGACGTTAAGACAACAGAGAAACGTTTTGGAACAAGCTTGAGCAGCACACTTTCTCTGTGACTGCTGGGAGTTGTTTCCGGGAGCAAGAGTTTGTTATGAAAACGAACTGTCAAAACGATTGTTGTCTGGTCGAATATTCCTCTTCTTAACTGCGTTGTACCGTTGGCTGAAGCGTTGCTGATCCCATGTGGTCGATCTATCGTAATAACCACGGACGAATAAACAACGATGTGGACGCCGTTGGCTGTATGATCGTTGACCTCTATTATTAGAGTTTAAAAAATTGATTACAAGGGTTTTTTTCAAAGAGCATCCCAAGTTTTAAGAACTAACCAACTACTCCCATTTCTTTACATTTTCCTTTGTCAAGTATTCCATTTATTTCTCTTGAAAGTTGAAACAGTTTTCTTTGGTTCTTAGTTACATTGATCATGCAAATTTGTGTCAACTAATAAGATTAATGCATTATGGGAAAATCCTTCATTGATTAAAGAGAAAATGTGAATGAAAAAAATGAATGCTTCTAGACGTTTAAGTTGTCAAAACTTGTGAAAATCAAGTACTACATAACCGTAGAAACTTCAAATTTCTTTGGCTTAAGTTTGAATAACTAATACCAAGCTGATGGTAACCCGTCTGCATTTTGCCGTACCAATACATAAACTATGTTAAACGAGCTTAAAATGCTGTTCTATTCAATTATATTTTGTTCTTCCTTTCCCATATCAAATATATTGCCTTCTCTCTGTGTCTTCAGCATCTCGGATTAGAACCCTGCTCTGACTTTTGTATCCTGCACCAAATGAAACTTTAACGAAGCAGTTCTTTTTCTGCTTAATTGGAAAGCATAAACAAAATCACAATATCGAGCGTACTATACTAAATTTATTGTTTAATACCAGGAAATTTAAACATGTAAAATTGTCTTCAAACTGACATATCAAGCCACAGTCCAGATATCAAAAGAACCACAGACATAAATCATACCAGTATACCTAATGAAATTAGTAAGTTTCATACCCCAAGTAATTTAGTATCCTTTGCATGCTTCTTTACATGTCTACTGTCTGCACAAGTACCTTGTGCCTACAGCCAAATAATCTGTCATCGTATGATCCAAACGGCGAACAACTGTCCTCCCTGACTGGTTACTGCATGCTGAACTTCCATGCGAAGATAATCAACAGAATCCCACTAGTGCTTGCAAAAGCCATTTCAAGTTATCTGAAACTGTGTAATTTAGTGAACTTATGAGACTGCTGAGAAGGGAGCATCTATAATCTGCAGTCAAATTCAGTCCTCAAGCTCAATGAACTAGGCTCTCTTCAAGTACTCTCTAAAGGCGGACACTACTTCAGAAGTTACTACATAAATTACTTGACATATTCCACCTGCAAAGTCAAGTCCTTGATTCCAGCATCATGTAATATGTGAGACACTTGGGCCTTCGTAAAAGCCTTGTCAGTTTCCTTTGAGATATGAAGATGAAGTGTCCCAACCACATCCGTGTTTGTTAAGCTCCATACATGCAGGTTCTGAATGCCGCATACCCCCTTTACCTTCACAACATCATTGAGAGCTTCTTTCAAATCCAGCTCATGAGCCCTAGGAACTCTCTGAAGCAAAAGTTCTGCAGAGTTTCTAAGCAAGGGGATAACTGAGGATACAATCAAAACGGATATAAATATTGAGCAGGCAGGATCAGCAACAAGCCATCCCTTGTACTTAATTAGAAGAGTTGATATAACAACTCCAACACTTCCCATGGTGTCTGCCAGGACATGCAAGAAGATTCCTTCCATATTGTGGTCAATGTGTTGATGGCGATGCTTCTGTGGTTCCTCATTAGAGTGATTTTGCAAACTTCTGGAAGAAATATGGAGCAAGCTTTGATAGTCATGGTGGTCACGTCCGTGAGAATGGTCTTGGTGGTCATGTTCGTGAGAATGGTCGTGGTGGTCATGTTCGTGAGAATGGTCGTGGTGGTCATGTCCGTGAGAATGGTCGTGGTGGTCATGTCCATGAGCATGTTCTTTGTGGTTATGTTGATGAGAAAGGTCTTCATGTGCATGTCCACGAGGCAGCTCTTGCTTATGAGTACCTTCATGATGGTCATGCTGGTAAGTGGCATGAAAGTTGCCATGATGATCATCTTTGAGAGAACAACATTTTTCAGAACTTCCATGGGAGATAGAGATACATTCCTGATGCTTGCTATGACCTTCATGGTCATGTGAATGCTGGTGATCGTGATGGGAGTGGGAATGGGAATGGGAGTGGGAGTGAGAATGAGAGCATGAGCCACCACCATGGGCATGATGGTGCTCCTCATGAAAGAAAATCAAACCAATTACATTCACAACAAGCCCTCCAATTGAAACAGTCAACAAACTATTAGTTGATATCTCCTGAGGATCCAATATCCTCTCTAACGACTCCAAGACAATTAATGCCCCAACCAAAACAAGGAAGACAGCATTAACATACCCCGATAGAACTTCAAATCTCCCCCGACCATAATTAAACTGATTATTTGCAGGCAAACGTGATATATATGAAGCATATAACCCAATTGCCAATGCACCACAATCAAACAGCATATGACATGCATCCGATATCAATCCAAGACTATTACTCATGAACCCGGCAACAAATTCAACAACCATGTAACCAGTATTAATCAAAAGGAAAAGTGCAATCTTACGAGATTTCCTCTCACTCAAAATGTGGTGGATAGGCTTCATAATCGAAGAACTAAATGACTCCGAAGATTCAAACCCCAACTGAAGATAATTCCAATGAAGAGGATCCAATTCTCTAATAGCAAAATACAATAACAAAAGACATATCACCAATCCAAAAAGCGAGAGCTCAGGGTAATAAAACAACTCCAAGACAATAGTACAAACAGAGGTAACCAGAAACTCTCTTTGAAAATCCGTAGAACTCACTAGCTTCTCATCACTATAATTCTCACTCAAAAGCACTCCAAACACAACAGTATTGGCCAAAGGCCAAGCCAAATTTGCAATGGAAACACCTTCACCATCCTTCTCAAAAACAATCCAACTCACAACAGCAGGAATAAAAAGAAAAATTGTTGTATAAAACAAACAAATTAACCTAACCTGTTTACGATTCAGTTGCCTAATTGTTCCCCAATTCATTGAAACTCTCTCATAACACCCTAAAAACCCAGCTAAAAACGGCAACAACATTGGCCAAACTCTAACACAATTCTCTCCGTAAATCATAGATGAACCCCGTAAAGAACTCGAAAACGGGAAACATTCAATCCGATCCCAACTAATTGATAACAAAAATAACCCAAGAAACAAACACAAAAACCCACGTAATCTAGAGAACTTACTCCAATCATTTAAACTCTGATTTTTCCTAGCCTCAGCTAGAAACCGTCCGGTAACATTACCGGACAATTCAGCCAAGATCATCGCCGCAGTGCCACAGTATCTAAGAGCCTGAAATCTGAGCAGAAACACAAGCGCCAAAACAAATGATTTAGTAAATAAAAATTTATTCTCAGCAGGGGAGATTAGCGAAAAAGACAGAACGGATTGGTGCTGTTTTAAATTAAGACTAAACCGTTGCTGTTTCGAGGAGGGGTAAGAGAAGATTGTGAAAGAAAGAGAGAGAAGGAAGGAGAGAAGAGAGACGAGGAAAGTGAAAGGGAAGAGAGAGAAAGAAGGGGAAGAGCGGAGAAAAGGGAGGAGAGAATAGAGAGAACGAAGGGAAAAGAGAATGAGAAAGAGAAAGGAGAGAGAAGATTTGTTGGAGGGTTTGGAGGGAAACGAAAGGGACCGGAGTTTCGACGGCGTTGACGTTGGGGTCGACGAAGGGTATGGAAACGGAGGGTACCGGGCGGTGGGAGTGGTGGTGTTGAAGGTGGCGGAGGGGCGAAGAGGGACGGAAAGGCGGTGGGGACGGTGGTGGCGATGGTGGTTGTGATCGGCCATGGTGAATGAGAGATCAAGAGAGTGTGGAGTCAGCTGTGTGCTGGGTGGGTTTTAGTTTAATAATCGCTGCGTGCAGAGACTGCCGAGTCACCAATGGTCACCGCAGACTTTTCGTCGGCTGAGCTGGACCGTTGAAGTCAAGCAATTTATGAAATTTGGACCGTCTGATGTCTCCCTTGTGGAAAAATCTTGATTCTTGACTGGTCGTCTACGTTAACGTAGGGTCAGTTTTTAAACGGTTAAAAATATATATTTAGGTGTTTTTTTTTCTTTTTTTTTTTTTTCCAATGAAGATTGAATAATAACTTTTAATATGATTTTATCAGTAATTTTTCTGATTTAAAAATATCTTAATTAGGGGTGAACACGAGTAGCGGGGAGAACCGGAACCGGGGGGTAGAATCGGAACCAGAACCGGAACCTACCTGGAACTGGTACTGTGCGGGTAGGTTCCGATTCCAATTTTTTGGAACCGGTACTGTGCGGTTCCGGTTCTTGTGTATGGAGGAACCGGAACCTGTAAAAAGGGTACCCTGTTTGGAACCTGTAGGGGTTATCCGGTTTGAAACCGATTTTTGGAACCTGTTTGGAACCTGTTTTGGAACCTGTTTTGGAACCTGTTTGTAACCTGTTTTGGAACCTGAACTACAATAAAATATTTGTGAAATGTGAATAATGGAGGGTTTTTATTATTTTACATATAAAAAAATTTAAAATAGAAAAAGTTAAATTTTTAGAATAACCTAGTTAAGTAAATATACGAATACAATTATACTTATTACAATAAATTACACCAATTAAAAGCTTTAATATTCATAATATTATTTAAAATTTTGATTAATTAAGTGAATAATTAGAATTATGAACCAATTAAAAGTGTTTTACATTTTTATGTTTTAAAAAATTATTTTTTAATAAAATAGTATATTTGATTGAGTAATAATATATTTAGTTATTTATTTCAATTATCAAGTTCTAAGTATATCTATAATAAATTAGTAATTAATTAATTATTATAATAATTGATAAACATTAATAAATTTAATTACTAGTTAAATATCATACTTAATCAATTATAACATTACATTATAATTAAATGATTACTTAATTAATTATAATTTTATAACATTACTTAATTGATTTATATTATAATAATTATAGTATTACATTTTTGATTACTACTTAATTAATTGACTTAAAGTTATAACATTTAGTATATTACTTAATTAATAATTAAAATTTAATTAATTATAGCATTACATTATAGATTTATAGTATAATTACTTAGTCAATTATAACATTTTATTATAAACATTAATACAACTTAATTAAATGATTAAAAATTTAATTATTATAATATACATTAAAAATTTATAGTATGATTACTTAATAGTTAATTCCACTATAACATTACATTATAATATGATTATATAATTTATAACATACATAATTAAATGATTACTTAATTGATTATGACATTATATTATAAATATTATAATTACTAATTTACTACAAACATTACATAATACTTAATTAATGATTAGATTAATTAATTACAACATTACATTATAAATTTTAGTACGATTATGTATTAATTGTAACATTACATTATAATTAAATGATTACTTAATTAATTATATATATTTATAAATAAATAAATTATAATTTATATTAAAGACTTATAGTATAATTACTTATTCATTGTAACATTCACTATTTCATTATAGTATGATTAGTTGATTACATAATTAATTAGTTGATTACATAATTAGATGATTATTTAATTGATTATGACATTATATTATAAACATTAATATAACATTACTTATAAACAATGATTAATTAAGTAATTATACATATAGTTAAATAATTACTTAATTAAATTATACATTATATATTACATTAATTATGATCACTTATTAATTATATATACATAATTAAATGATTAATTAATTAATTATAAATTTATAACATCACATTATAAACTTAGTAATTTACTACTTTTATTTATTACATTACTTAAAATGATTAAAATTTTTAATTATAATATAACACTAAATATCTATAATCTGATTACTTAATTCACTATAACATTACATTTAGTATAATCACATAATTAATTATAACATTACATAATTAAATGTTACTTAATTGATTATGAGTTATGATATTATGTTTTAAACATTAGTAATTACTAATTTACTACATAAACATTAGCACAATACTTAATTAAATGATTAGAAATTTATTAATTATAATATTACCTTATAAACATTCATTGTAAACATTAATTAACATTACATTATAGTTAAATAATTACTCAATTAAATTATACCATATTATATTAATATCACTTACTTAATTTAACATTACATAGTTAAATGATTACATAATTAGTTATGAATTTATAACATTACATTATAAATATAGTAATTTACTATTATATTACATTATTTAATTAAACGATTAAAAATTTAATTAATTATAACTTACCTTATATTTATAATATGATTACTTAATCATATAACATTCCATTATAACTTAGTAAATTAATTAAATGATTTGAAATTTAATTAATTATAATATTTATAGATTTATAGTGTGATTACTTAATTCATTATAACATTACATTTACTATTATAGTATGATCATATAATTAATATAACATTACATAATTAAAGATTACTTAATTGATTATGACATATATTATAAACATTAGTAATTTACAATTTACACAATACTTAATTAAATGATTAGAATTTTATAATTATAACATTACATATAAATTTATGGTATATTATTTAATTAATTATAACATTCTATTATAAATAATATTACAATACTTAATTAAATGATTAACAATTTAATTAATTATAATATTACATTAGAATTAAACCCTAAACCCAAAGTATTTTTTTAGGGGTGTATTTGTAAACTTTTAAGGTATTTTTGTCATTTTTAAACTAATAGGGGGTAATTGATTTTTTATAGGGTACCCCGGAAAGGAACCGGAACCACATTTTAGGTTCCGGTTCCTATTGAAGAACCTGCACTGTGCAGTTCCGTTCCGGTTCCTTTTTTTGGAAACCTGCACTGTTCGGTTCTGGTTTCGGTTCCGGTTTCGGTTCCGGTTTCGGTTTCGGTTCCGGTTCCGGTTCCCCAAAAATGGAGGGTACCCGAACTGCTCACCACTTCTTAATGGCTTCGTTAGATGCTATTAAAAAAAAAAAAACTTCCTATTTAATACATGTATTTATGTCTTAAAAAGAAATATTTTGTTAAGTAAATTTTAACCATCTCAAAGTCTCAATCAAACATTCTTACCTCTTGAATTGGCACCCTCCGATTTTTTTCATATTAATTTTATAATGTATCCTCATTCCTTCATTTTTTGACCATCCATCCATGATCTTTGGTCATATTATGTTGTACTCCATAGGTACTACATTAACTCATTGATTGATATAAAAAAGAAATTTTATTTATTTGACCCTTTCTTAGGAAGGTGCACAGCGTAGCATATAATTTCCATTATTATTATTATTATTATTATTATTATTTTAACCGAGGTATTCAGGCCAGTTTACGTGCACCTCAATTAATCTACATGGTCCGTTAAACACCTTACAAGCATTAAGGATCAGGTAAGTCAAAATATCATTATGATAGGTGACCTCAAGGTTTGGACCCAAAAACTCAATAAATGGAGCAAACCTCTTTGACCACCATACCAACCCCTTAGAGTTTAATTTCCACTATCTTGCTTATTTAGTATTTATGATAGAGATGATAGAAAAATTTGGGATTGGATACTTGGAAAAATCGGTTTCATTGAACAGGGAACTCCTCAAAAAGTTCAGGGTTGAGGTCGGATGGGATAATTATACCCCGGAACCAAAGACAGGGGCAAAAAGGTGAAAACTTGTAAAATAAAGCCTTGTCCCAAATAAAAATACATAATATATTAAATATATAATTAATTGATATATTAAATTAATTATAACTAATATTTTATGTAATAAAAGCAATTCAAAGATTTTCATGTATGAGGTCGGGAAAAAATGGCCATTACGGTCCCTTCCTCGAAAATTGTCAAACTTTTGTGTACGATAATAAAAATAAGGTTAAAAGATGGATTCCACACAATTATCACCATGGGTGTGTTTGGTTCGGGGAATGTTTTATTGCTAATAATATAGGATTATTAGTGAGATGGATTACCTTGAAGATTATGGGGGAATGTTATATCAATATTTTTGGTTAGATTGGTGGGTATAAATAATTAAAATGTTTGGTTGGAAGGAATATAATATTATCAATTGAGGCTTTTACTGAATTGTCCTTCCTTTTTAATAATAATACTATTATAATTATTATTTAGATAGATTACTTTTAACCCCCCATATTTAAGAATTTAGCTAAAACACACCAACAACAAAAGTTTAAATTTTTACAAAATACCCCTAGCTACTACAAACGACTATTGACCACCACCACCAGTCGTCCTCGATAGTCGCCGAAATGAAGTATGATTGGTCGGATCTGGCCAGCCGTGCGTTGGTCTAGCCGTTGCTGGCCAAATCGAAGGTCGAAAACGGCTAGATGGTCGTGGATCTGATCAAAAACGGCCAGATAAATGGCATGTTGAGCCCTTATGTGTTTTGATGTGCCAAAACTAATCAAAGAGTTGATCAATTTCTAACAAACATGCTTAAGTATGAACAAAAATTAAAACCAAAAACAAAATGCAATTTTTCCTTTTGGATCGATCGTGCAGGATAAAGGAACGATCGTTCCTTTGAATTAAAATTGCCCAGGTGCACATTTCTCTTAGCACGACAATGTTTCGTGCGATCGTGCATGCTTCTATCCAAAATGGAGCGAAGTCGCTCACACCAGCACGACCAAACACGCCTGTTCCATTCTAGTCAAAAGTCAAAGCTCTTAGAAATCAAACTCTTCGTGCCTTTAACGAATCTTGGAAGACAAGCCTTAAAGATCAAGTTGAAGATTCAAGTATCAAAAGTAGAATGACTATTCTCCATGGTAGAACGATCGTTCACACTCAAAGATCATTCTTGG